TCTGCTTGTGTACAAGTCTCTCCATGGCCTTGCACCAAAATACATTAGTGACATGTTGGTGTCATATGAACCAGCCCAGACTCTGAGGAGCACAGGGACTGGCCTCCTGCTGGTGCCCAGAGTGAGAACCAAACATGGGGAGGCTGCGTTTCAGATCCATGCAGCTAAGATCTGGAACAATCTCCCTGAAAATGTGAGGGAGGCGTCTACTCTGTCAATGTTCAAATCCAGGTTAAAGACTGTTCTGTTTGCCTGTGCATACAACTGAAGGATTTTATCTCCATTTCTAATGCACTGCTGTCATTTATTTATTTATTTTTTTAAATTTCTTGTGTAATTTTGAAAGTTTTAATGGTTTTATTCTTTTGTGTGATTTTAATGTTTTAATTGTGTTTAATCTTTTGTGTGATTTTAATGTTTTAATTGTGTTTTAATCTTGTGTTTTAATCTTGTGTTTGTTTTATGTGATGATTTGTGATGTGGACTGTGAAGCGCTTTGTGTTGCCCTGTGTATGAAAGGCGCTCTACAAATAAACTTTGATTGATTGATTGATTGAGATGTCGCCAGAATACTCCAACCTGCTCCTGGGTCGTGTGTGCCATGGTAACTGTTGCCAGAGCAACGGTTGCCAAGGTTACTGTTGCCATAGCAGCAGTTGCCATGGTAACCATTGCTAACTGTTGCCATAGCAACAGTTGCCAAGGTTACCATTGCTAACTGTTGCCATAGCAACAGTTGCCAAGGTGTTGCCATAGCAACAGTTGCCATGGTAACCGTTGCTGTTGCCATAGCAACGGTTGCCATGGTAACTGTTGCCATAGCAGCAGTTGCCATGGTAACCGTTGCTAACTGTTGCCATAGCAACGGTTGCCAAGGTTACTGTTGCCATGGTGACCATTGCCAATGCAAACGTTGCCAGGGTGACTGTTACTATAGAAACAGTTGCCACGGTTACTGTTGCAACAGTTGCCATGGTGCCATGGTGACTGTTTCCATAGCAATGGTTGCCATGGTGATTGTTGCCATAGCAAGGGTTGCCATGGTTTCTGTTGCCATGGTGACTGTTACCATAGCAGGTCCTGGTGTTGAGTTTTCCACCAGAGAAGAACGAGTTCTAGTTACCATAGCAAGACACTGTACATACTAGCCAGCAGATTGCATTAGCTTTTCAACAAATGAAGCTTAAGCAATAGGTCTGGCATACGCCTCCTGTACTGGCGACCCCGCTCCCATCTCAGTGTGGAGTGATAGGACAAATGCCCAAAAATAACAATTGTAAACCGTTTTGTGACTCTGGTCTGTGAAAGGCGGTATATAAATAAAGATTACTTACTTACGCCCGTTGGTCTTGTGGTGGGTGGGCTCGAACCCACAACCTTCAGGCCAAAGGCCAGTGCTCTACCAACTGAGCCACTGCTGCTCACTTGCAGTGTAGTATTAGCCATAAAGCAAAAGGCAAGGCATGACAAGTTTTTTTGTATAGCTCAATTCATACACAAGGCAACCCAAAGTACTGCACACCAGGCCATTGCAGTAGTCTAACTCACTGGAGACAAATGCATGGATAAGAATCTCCAAGTCTGCTTTAGACACCATGTTTTTAATCATGGCAATGTTTTTTGGATGGTAAAAGCTGCTGATGTTACTGATTTGATGTGGCTATTAAAATTTAAGTCTGAGGCCGAATTCCTTTTATGGGCTTTTCTTCCATGGCGTAGCAGGGGGACACATGTTGCTAATACGGTGGCTTATAGGGCCCATATCTGGATTTACATAGACAATCTCACAATATACACACCAGGATCACAGAGAGAACTGAACCAAACATCTTGTTTAAGCCAAAATTGAGTGTGACAAACGGATACTGAGCTAGAGGAGATTACTTTTCAATATAAGTCCGAGCTAGAGCAAGTTGAAGCAAATAACTTCCACATTAGGCTTCATGGAGCTAGCAGGTTGACTAAACGTATTGTCAGAACACTCGTAGTTATTGGGATGATGTTGGAATGGATCTTGCTTCACTAATCTTGGAGCAGTAGATTGTTGTGTGCATGTTTGGCCAGCAGAGGGCACTCTCTTCTATCCTTTGATTTTAAAAAGACAAAGGATGCATGAAGGAAGGAGGTGTTTCAAATCTTTTATTTTCCCTGATTTATTCACATGACACAAATATTAAGCGCTCTTTTGTTTCTTCCTGTTAAACCTCAGACGTCAATAAATAAACATCTTCAACACTATCAAAAATACATCTATGAGACACGTAACGCCCAGACCCCGAGTGGTTACAGAGGACAAGGTTCGTTAGTCGTTTTAAGATGGACTGGAGCAGTGTTCCCCGACCTTTTTGAGCCGTGGCACAACTTAGAAAACAATCACATGAAACATCACCACTGGAAACTCAAACCAGAATTATGAAACCACTAGAACTCCAGGAGCTGTCATTTTGACTGCTCCCATTCAAACCAATGGAATTCTGAGAAATTACTCAAGACATAACAAGTGAGTGATTTGTCAGGTGTTTTTGACTTCACTTCACTTTTATCAAGTGCTAAAACTGATTACAGTGAAAAACTGTTAGTTGAAAGGCTAATGCTAACTGCTGGCAAGTATACTCTGTGTTGCTATGGTAACTAGAACTCGTTCTTCTCTAGTGGAAAACTAAGTTTACTCGACTCACATCCAGGACCAGCCAAGGACCGGACCAAAACCAGACCAGGACTAGACCAGGACCATACCAGGACCATACCAGGACCAGACCAGGACCATACCAGGACCATACCAGGACCATACAAGGACCATACAAGGACCATACAAGGACCAGATCAGGACGAGACCAGGACCAAACCTGCACCAGACCAGAACCTGACCAGGATCTGACCAGGACCAGTACCTTTTACAATACTGCCATAGAAAGTTGGTAACCAAGCAACAGAATTACAGCAATTAGTAATTACATTTCCATAATTTAAAGCCGTCAAATTGATTGTTCTGGGAGTTCTAGTTTAGCAAAGTCCTTCTCAGTGTATTACAGTGTTTTGTAGAGAAAATCAAACAAGAGAAAATAAGTCTTTATAATCTTATCTCATTATTTTCTATTCACATATTGACCAATCAGGTGATAATAGGTCAGGGGCCCACAGGTTGAACAACACTGGGCTAGATATACAGCTTGAAAAATCAGATCAAGGTGGGAGTTAAATAAATGTTTGGCACAGACGTCTTAAAACAGTGAAAAATAAATAAGATAATTCAAGTCTGTTCTAAATTGCATAAATGCAAAATAAATACAGTGCAAACGTTAAGACTAAGTTTAGGAATTCATTCTCCCTAAAGTCGAAGACACAGCCACACAACATGTACGTAACACAACAAAAATGTACATCTGTACAATCAAGGAACAATCAACAATGACTCTTATGTTTTGATGAAGCGAAACTACTTCTGTTTTGATCAAGGCACTAAAACTACAAAACCACTGGCAATAGTTAGACAGAAGTCAATGGGAGACTGTGAGAATCAGACTGACATTAATGAGCTCATAACCATAAAACAATAACATGTCTTTACTTAAAGCTGGGATTATTTTAAATTGTAATAATATTAATAATGCCTTTGTTTTATACAGTGCTTTTCAGGACACTCAAAGAGGCTTCACACGTCATTATTCATTCACTCTACACACAGTGGTGATAATCTACTACTGTAGCCACAGCTGCCCTGGAGACACCAAACGACATGTTAAGGCACACTTATGTACCATGGCCCATGGTTGAAAAACATTACTATAGCTTATGACAGAGCCTTTGCCATTGCCTTCTAACCCTCTGGACTCACTCCCACTGCCCGCTAGAAACTCCGACTCACTACCAAACTATAAGTTAGTCTGAAAACCCCTCTTTTCAAACAAACGTTTGCATAAACCCTTTTTTTTTCATTCCCATGTGTAACGTCTCTGAGTTTCCAAAAAACTGCTATGTACAGTACAGACCAAAACTTTATGAACAATATGAATGTAAATGAGAGAGTGAATGGATGGTGTTGGTTGGAGGCTTTAACGCGCCAGTGTGTTCTGGACTCGCTTCCGTCATCACCGTGTGTGGAATGATTGGAACAATATCTGAACTCTGAACATTGTGAAGTGCTTTGGGTGACCTTGGTCTGTAAAAATGCGCTATATAGATAAACATTACTTACTTACTTTGGACACACCTTCTCATTCAAAACTATGCATTAACTCATGTGTAATTATGTACGTACTAAAAAAAAAATGAAACAACTGAAAATATGTCTTATGTTCTAGGTTCTTCAAAGTAGCACCTTTTGCTCTGATTACTGCTTCGCACACTCTCTGCATTCTCTCGATGAGCCTCAAGAGGTAGTGCAGCACCCACCACTCTCCTTATTGGTCAAACACCCCGTACTCAGCCTGGTGTGGATCTACAGTCAATAGTCATGAAAAGAAACTCATTGAATGAGAAAGTGTGTCCAAACTTTTGGTCTGCACTGTAAGTCTGATGTATTATTATTGCTATAATTAATATCAGTGAAGTTAGAAGCATGGATAACTATGATTAATGAATGCACTTAAAACATGGAAAATCACTTCAAAACCTGTATTGGTCCATTTGAAAATTAGAAAAAAAAAAATCTATATTTCTGCTGTCAAAGTAAAAGTCTCTGTTTGCCTCTTTGGGCTCAGAGCTGCTGAGTGAGGGTGGTCTTCTCTTCTTCATGTTTCTGTCTGAAAAAAGCTGATCTATAAATATGACGGAGGGAAACCAACTGTTGTAAGTGCGATGACACGATGGATTGTGAGAGAGTAGAAATGTTACGTTCCTCAGCTTTAATGGACAATAGAAACCTCTGTGTTCTGTCAGAGACCAGTCTGTGAGGAAAGATTTTGGTATTAGTGGATGGAGCTAAAAACAACTCCAGGTCTGTTTGGATGAGGAACATGGTTAAAGGCTCCGAAGAGTCAGTTTGACAGTGAGCAGCGGCTCTACTCCGGGCTCTTCTCTGCAGTGCTGTCTGAGCTCGGGCTCTCGGGTCTCTGCGGGGCTTTGGGGTCTCGTACCGCCTCCTCTTCCTGCTCTGGCTCCTCCCCTTCCTGTGGCTCCTCCTCTAACACGGTGGTGTCGGGGATGATCTCCACCTCGATCTCTTTGAACCAGACCGACTTCTGACCCTCTTTCCTCCGCGGCCGCATGAGACCGGACTCCGAGCCGTTCCTGAAGACAGCAGAGACAGGGGGGGGTTATCAACAGGGAGCAGCTCTGTACGTGTGAGCTCCTCACCCTATCTCTAAGGGAGCGCCCAGCCACTCTGCGGAGGAAGCTCATTTCGACCGCTTGTATCCGCGATCTCGTTCTTTCGGTCATTACCCAAAGCTCATGACCATAGGTGAGGGAGGGAACGAAGATTGACCGGTAAATTGAGAGCTTTGCCTTTCGGCTCAGCTCCCTCTTTACCACAACGGTCCGATACAGAGACCGCATCACTGCGGTCTCTGTTCCAGATTTTAGCCTACTGGAGACAAATGCATGGATAAGAATCTCCAAGTCTGCTTTAGACACTATGTTTTTGATCCTGGCAATGTTTTTTAGATGGTAAAAAGCTGCTGATTTGATGTGGCTATTAAAATTTAAGTCTGAGTCCAGTATTACCCCTAGATTTCTGACCTTGTTTGAAGTTTTTAGGGAGAGAGACTGTAGGTGACAGATGACGCTCTCTCTTTGTTTCTGGGGACCAAAGACAATCATTTCAGTTTTGTCTGCGTTTAGCTGAAGGTAGTTGTTTTGCATCCACTCACTGATCTGTTGGATAAGTGAAGGAGTGAGTCCACTGGTCCATGTTCTCCTGCAGTCAGTGAGACATAGATCTGAGTGTCGTCTGCATAGTTATGATAGGACACTTCGTTTCTGCGTATTAACTGACCTAACGGCAGCATGTAGAGATTGAACAGAAGAGGTCCCAGGATTGACCCCTGTGGTACTCCACAGGTCAGGGCCATATGATCTGAGACACAGTTTCCAATCTCCACAAAGTACTTCCTGTCTTCAAGGTAAGACCTAAACCAACTTAGGGCGGTGCAAGCGACGCCAACCCAGTCCTCTAGTCTCTGTAAGAGGATCTCATGGTCGACGGTGTCAAAGGCAGCACTCAGATCTAACAAGATTAGGATTGAGACTTGGCCTGCGTCAGTGTTCAGCCGGATATCGTTTGTAACCTTGACGAGAACAGTCTCAGTGCTGTGGTGGGGTCTAAAGCCGGACTGAAACATATCAAATGAGTTGTTAATTATAAGAAATCTAGTAAGCTGTAGGTAGACAACTTTTTCAAGGATTTTCCCCATAAATGGCAGATTTGAGATGGGACGATAGTTGTTAAGTACCGTAGCATCCAGACTGCTCTTTTTTAGCAGGGGCCTGATGACTGCCGTTTTCAGGGCCTTTGGGAATATTCCAGAATGAAGGGACATGTTTACTATCTGTGTGAGTGAAGGTAACAAACTGCTCAGAACAGACTTCAGAAATCTAGTGGGTAGTACATCCAGGCTGCATGTGGAGGAGCTCAAACTGGAGATTACCTCTTGGACCGTTTGATCATCTACAGGTGCAAAGTAAGTTAGCTCAAAGAGCCTTTCTGGTTGTTGGATGGTTATCTGTGGATTGGAGACAATGGCTTTTTTTATGCCTTGAACCTTGTCATTGAAAAAGTGTGCAAACTCATTGCATTTACGTTTGGAAGTTAGCTCTAATGGCATCTGAACAGGGGGGTTTGTTAATCTATTAACTGTTGAAAACAGAACACGGAGATTGTTGTTATTTCAGAAAAATACCTTTCTCTCGTACTACGTAGCACCCGGTTAAACTCGCACAACTTATCCTTGAATATCTTGTAATCAACCTGGAGGTTGGACTTGCGCCACTTCCGCTCGACCCTCCGGCACTTTCTTTTCAGTGCTCTGACCGAGTCTGCTTTAGCCCACGGCGCCTTCTGCTTATTTTTCACTATTTTAACTTTCACAGGGGCAACGGTATCCAGAACATTCAAAACACTAGAGGTGACAGAGTTAAACAGTTCATCTAGAGTAGAATACGATGCATTTTCAAAGTTTATCATTCCCATAAATAGTTCACTCGTATTTTCATGTATGTGTCTTCTTCGAACAGTTGCAGAGTCCACTGGTGGTTTGTTAGTGAAACACATGTCAAAAAATACACAGAAATGATCCGAAAGAGCAACATCAACCACGCTTATATTTGAAATATTCACCCCCTTAGTAACTAACAGGTACAGCAATAGCAGCGGTTGCCATGGTAACTGTTGCCATAGCAACGGTTGCCATGGCAACTCAACTTTCAATAGCAACGGTTGCCATGGTTAGCGTTGCTATGGCAACAGTTGCCATGGTAACTGTTGCCATAGCAACGGTTGCCAAGGTTACTGTTGTCATAGCATCGGTTGCCATGGTTACCGTTGCTAACTGTTGCCGTAGCAACGGTTGCCATGGCAACTCAACTTTCATCGCTTTGCTCGTCTCCGAGCACTGGAGTCTCGAGCTAGCGCTAGCATTAGCTACAGCCAGGCCGTATCCTAAGGGACAGCGGAGCGCAGCTTTAGGGAAAGGCAGAGGAGAACTAGCGAGCCTAGCCTCCCAGCCCGTCCTCCGCAGCTGGGACAAGACCAGGATAGTGATGGCTTTGTGACTGTTCGGAGAGGGCGACGTGTTGTTGGTAGTTTCCCCATTGGGCCTCCTCCTGTTAGCATTTACAATCGCTGGGACGCTCTGTCCGGCTGCGCCCCCGCGCGGCCGGGCGGGGAAGAAGGCCCCGCTGAGAGAGCTGCTGAGAGAGCCGATGGAGTCGCTGATGCGCTGGTAATTGGCTCCTCTATTGTTAGAGGTGTTAAGATCCCAGGAGCCACTGTTCGGTGCTTCCCTGGGGCCAGGCTTGGTGATATTGAAGGGAATCTGAGGCTCATGATGACCCACAAGCAGCGTTTCCGTCGAATTGTTATTCACGCAGGTGGTAATGACGTTCAGCGGAAACAGTCCGAGGTGTTGAAGCTGCAAGTCGCCGCGGTGTGCAAGCTGGCTAGCACAATGGCCGACAGTGTCATCTTCTCTGGGCCCCTACCTAGCACTAGCAGTGCAGAAGCATTCAGCAGACACTCGGCTTTCAACCGCTGGCTGTCTGGCTGGTGCCCTCGAAGTGGTGTTGTTCATGTTGACAATTGGAGTGCCTTTTGGGGAAAGCCCGGTCTCATCCGCTCGGATGATATCCACCCAACGTTGGCGGGTACATCCCTTTTGTCTAAGAATTTGGCCCTGGCTCTAAACTGTTCTGCCCGGCTCAAATGACGGTGCAGAACTGAGGCCCGGGTGCAGAGCTGCTCTGCGACAACCTCTGAGCCCCCATCTGTTCAGTTACTAGCCTCAGAAGCTAGTCAGATTGAAACTGTGTGTGCATGTGTGTGTGTGCCTGTGTGTGTTCAGTTACTAGCCTCAGAACCTAGTCAGATTGAAACTGTGTGTGTTCCTCGCTTGAAGTCTAAAGCACTATATGCGAGGAAATCTGACCTGGGTGTCAGACACAGTAACTTAATAAAAGTTCAGACAGACAGAAATAGTTCTAACAGTAGGGTTGTTAAATGTGGTTTAATGAACGTTAGATCAATCTCGTCTAAATCGCTTCTCATAAACGAACTTATTATAGACAAGGGCTTGGATTTGTTTGCGCTCTCGGAGACTTGGCTCCAACAGGACGACTACGTTAGATTGAATGAGTGCACTCCTCCGACGCATGTTAACTACCAGAAAGCGAGAACTACAGGTCGCGGCGGTGGTGTTGCGATTATATCACACACCAACTTGGTTCTTAGTCCCAAAACCAACAACGCTTTTCACTCGTTTGAAAACTTAACACTTTCAATCACCTGTCCTGGGTGGAGAAAACAAAAAGCGGTGCTATTTATAGTTTTATAACGACCTCCTGGTCCTTACAGCGAGTTTCTAACAGAATTCTCTGACTTCATTTCAAACCTAGTTTTGGAATGGGAAAACATAGTTATAACTGGAGACTTCAATATACATGTGGACGACAGCACTGACAGCTTAAACAAAGCTTTCAGCGCCGTACTAGATGGTGTTGGTTTTACTCAGAATGTTGAGGAACCTACTCACATTCATAACCACACCTTGGACCTTGTCCTGACCTACGGCTGTGATGTCTCCAATGTTGACATCCAGCGTCAAAGCTCGTTGCTGTCTGACCATTTCTTGATCACGTTTGATCTCGATTTGGAGGACTTTCCTCTTTACAAGCCACTCTGCGGAGGAAGCTCATTTCGACCGCTTGTATCCGCGATCTCGTTCTTTCGGTCATTACCCAAAGCTCATGACCATAGGTGAGGGAGGGAACGAAGATTGACCGGTAAATCGAGAGCTTCGCCTTTCGGCTCACCTCCCTCTTTACCACAACGGTCCAATACAGCGACCCCATCACTGCGCACGCTGCACCGATCCGCCTGTCAATCTCACGCTCCATCCTTCCCTCACTCGTGAACAAGACCCCGAGATACTTGAACTCCTCCACTTGAGGGAGGACCACTCCACCCAGCTGGAGAGGGCACGGCACCTTTTTCCAGTCGAGCACCATGGCCTCGGATTTGGAGGTGCTGATTCTCATCCCAGCCGCTTCACACTCGGCTGCAAACCGTCCCAGTGCATGCTGCAGGTCCTGGTTCGTTGGAGCCAACAGGACAACATCGTCCGCAAAAAGCAGAGATGAAATCCTGTGGTCCCCAAACCGGACCCCCTCCGGCCCCTGGCTGCACCTAGAAATTCTGTCCATAAACACAGTGAACAGAACCGTTGACAAAGGGCGGCCCTGGCGGAGGCCAACATGCACCGGGAACAGGTTTGACTTACTGCCGGCAATGCGAACGCAGCTCTGGCTCCGGTCATACAGGGACTGGTGGGCCCTTAGCAGAGGACCCTGGACCCCGCACTCCCGGAGAACCCCCCAAAGGACACCCCGGGGAACACGGTCGAACACCTTCTCCAAATCCACAAAGTACATGTGGACAGGTTGGGCGAACTCCCATGAACCCTCGAGTATCCGATGGAGAGTATAGAGCTGGTCCAGTGTTCCGCGACCGGGACGAAAGCCACACTCCGAGATTCGACCATCGGCCGTAGCCTCCTCTCCAGTACCTTGGAGTAGACCTTACCGGGGAGACTGAGGAGTGTAATTGGAACACACCCTCCGATCCCCCTTCTTGTAGAGAGGGACCACCACCACGGTCTGCCACTCCATTGGCACCGCCCCCGATCGCCACTCGATGTTGCAGAGACGTGTCAGCCAAGACAGTCCTACAACATCCAGAGACTTTAGATAGTCAGGACGGATCTCATCCACTCCTGGCGCCTTGCCACCAGGGAGGCTGCCAACCACCTTGGTGACCTCCGCCAGGGAGATGGAAGTATCCGCCCCAACATCCTCAGCCTCCGGGACGGAGGACGTGACGGGGGGGATTGAGGATGACCTCGAAGTATTCCTTCCACCGCCTGACAATATCCCCAGTTGAGGTCAGCAGCTCTCCACCCGCACCATACACGGTGTTGGCAAAGAACTGCTTCCCCCTCTTGAGGCGCCGGACGGTTTGCCAGAATCTCTTCGAGGCCGACCGATAGTCATGCTCCATGAACTCTCTGAACTCCTCCCAGTCCTGGGAGGACATATCGAGGTATGTCACCCTGAATATGTGCAAAACCTAAGCACTGGTCTAAACTGGCCTACACCGGCAGTTTTGACGCTTTGTGAGGTCATTATTTTAATCGAAGAAGGGAAGGCGAGGTTCCAAAGATGCCATTGACAGCGTTTACTTTACAAAATAAAACTTGGATCCATTCTAACTTTGCTTTTAGACTGTCTGAAATTGAAAAAAAGCTGTGTCAGCATTTTCAACGAGTTGAAATTAAAGAGAAAAGAAGTCGGAAAGTGCCGGTTCTGTTGACTCCTGAAATGATTGCTTCGATGGAGGTGCTGGTGGAAAACAGAAGGGCGTGTTCTATCTCTAACCATAACCCATGCTTCTTCTCCCGGCCGGGTGCAGACACCCACATCAGGGGATCACCTACGGCAGGTGGCCAAAGAATGTGGTGCGGTGCATCCAGAGATGTAATCCTCAACCAGATTTAGAAAGCATATGGAAGTCACAAACTAGGAAATTGCTTTGGCTCAGGCTATGCATACATGTTCTTAATATGAAAGAGAATGAAATGGACATACTAGCCAACTTCCTCGGCCATGACATTCGCATCCACAGACAATATTAGACTACCAGAGGGGACACTGGAGCTGGCCAAAATCAGCAAAGTGTTAATGACCATGGAGCAGGGAAGAGTGACGGAATTCAAAGGAAAGAGCCTCGACCAGATACAAATTGAGCCTGAAGGTAATTCTTGATATAAAATGTTGATTTTTGTTATTTGTGTTATTTTCCCTTTAAGTGTTATTTTTTATTTTTTATTTTCTGTGCTACAGGGCTGAAAGAAACTTCAAACGCATAACCTTCAACCATTCAACCGGATGCACCGCATGGTAGAGGCAGTGCCCCTTCTGGTAAGTGTACCATGTGGAGGGTTACAGCCAGGCTTCTTGGCCCTAAACCTTGAAAGAGTATATTTTTAACATTTTTTTTTCTCTCTCTCTCCAGAACGTTAGAGAAAGCCATGGACTGCATCTGAGGTGAAGGCTGTGAAGAAGACCATGATGCCTTTCATACAGACTGGAAAAGTCCCTGGGAAGTCTCACTACCGGGCAGACATCAAATTAAATTCTATATAAAATCAGAATCATTGCATTTTGAAATTAAACAAATCAATAATAAAAGTTTCTAATCCTGTAAAAGATTTGTCTGTTTTGTAATTGACTGTTTTGGAATGTTTTGTATTACTTAAAATAGTCCCAGTAAAAAAGATCAGTGCAAAGTAATTCTAAAGTGACCCTGGCTTTTTGGCGTCAGCGGTAAACGCACCTTAAAAGCGGGTGGCCGCTTTATGCTGTTACTTTGCCGCTGACTCCGAAAAGCCGGGTCTCTTTACCGCGGTCTGAGAACAGTGAGGGCGAGCCGCAAGAAATGTCCTCCACCTCTGCTAAGGGGGGAGCCCACCAAGCCCATCATTTGCATCACTATGCGAGTAAAAATACGCAAGGCTCTTATTTTGGGCTGGACAGTGCAGCTCGGTAGTGGTGCGAGTCTCTATAAGGCGTCACTCCGAATCAAGGAAATACATTCTCATTTCATTTGACGGGAAGGGCTGTTGAGGTGGGGGGTCGTGGGGGAGCAGCCAGTGGGGGCGGGTCCCGGCTCAAAAGTGGCCAAAATGACGTGCGCTGACATGCTTGCAATACCACCCCGGGCCGAAGGGGGTGGACCCAGAAGTAGAATTAGCCAATGCTAACATATAGCATTGGCAGACCTCTCGAAAAAATCTTTACAGGATGGTCCAAAAGTTGGCTCTTGGCCCAAAGCTCCGTTCCACATGTGTGTCAATGCTGAGGGGGGTGAATTTTTTTGGTCCACTCTAGTTTACTCGCTGTGAATTTTTGAAGTCTCTTGTTCAAATGAATGGAGCTGCACCGACTGACGCATGCGCAGATGCGTTTTTTCACAATTAACTTGTGGGCGGGACCACTCGCGGCCATTTTGGATAGCTCCAGTAGAGCAATTTTTTTGGCCCAATAGTTAGAACGGCGGAGATAGGCGTGACTCTGCTAATATATACAGTCTATGGGAGCAGCGCATTTATCATGGGGGTCGCTTGCTAAAAACTTTGGGAACCCCTGCCATAGGGACCCACCAGGTAACAAAAACGTGTGTGTGTGTGTGTGTGTGTGTGTGTGTGTGTGTGTGTGTGTGACTCACCGCAGCTCCCTCTGCGCGCGGCGGCTCATGGGGCTGGTGCGCTGGACGTGGTTGGAGAAGCTGCCGCAGGTGGAGCAGGTCTTGGAGCTGCGTTTGCCCAGAGGCAGCACCTTTCCTCTGGGGAACATGCCCGCCCACCGGCCCTTGGACTCGCCCTCTGTCTGGAAGCCATCGTTTGTGAACTGAAGAGAGTCTCTGTGAGCGTGGGAATGGGGCCCGGGCCAGCACTGGACACACACAACACCACACAGAGAACACACATCAGACAGTATTTTCTGTTAAAGTGTAAGTAGAAAAAAATGGTTAAACATAAATAAAAGAAGGATCTGGAGCCTGACCCCAAACAGACATCTAAAGGCAGCGTATTTTTTCCTTATTTTTGCCATGTTAAACAAAGGCTTAAAGGTATCCAAGAGGATTTTCTACTTCCGGGTGGATCATCAACACTATTGGTCCTCCCAAATGTCAATCATTCTGTTTATACGTCCTTGTCCAATAAGAGCAGAGAGTTTTGTTCAAAAAGTAGAAAGGGCGGTTCTTTCCTAAAATATGGGAAAATCCTCCTTTATACCTTTAATGTCGTCATTCAAAAAGTCCAGTCCAAAACCTTTTCTATAACCCAGTTTAGTCCGGATCCAGTCCCTCCTCTAGTCCTCCTCTAGTCCTGCTCAGTCCCAGTCCTGGTTCTGGGCTCTGGTCCAGACCTGGCAGATGTTCCCCAGGCCGTCCCCCTTCAGGACTCGGGACAACAGGAACCCGATGACGATGAGACACAGCAGCAGCAGAGCGGCCATCACCAGACCCAGCAGAGCCATATCCCCGGGACGGTACCCCCCACTGGCCGGGGACGGGAGTGCAACGGCTGCAAATAAGAAAATACATGTTTGTTCTGCAGGCCTTATATTAGGAGAGGACAAACTCTCTCAGTCTTTAAATAAAGACTGATTCTTGAATGTCTGAAGTGTTATTGCAATAGCCCCACACGAAGAGCGAGGGTCAGGACAGAAGAGAGCTATACCCGTAGGAAACGCTTTTCTTTGGCTCACCCCCCTGCGCCCCTCGGTCCAGGGGGTTATATGAAAGGTTTAATACAGCGGAGAATACAAAAGTGCAGGAGAGACGTGTGAAAATGCTTGTCACAGGAAGACGTAATGTGACACACAATATCAAGACCCCACCACCCGCCACACTGACCCCCCTCATCCGCGCTGGGAAGCGGGCCCTGGCCGAAGTTTTGAGCCGCGCGAATGCCGTGGTCACATGGCACCTAAAACCCGGATCTAATCGCGAAGCGGGCCCTGGCACACTTTAACCAGGCTTTAGGCTGCGCATCATGCAGTGCCCATCAGGGTCCAAGCGCCAAATCCTAACCACATTTCTTAAGATTAAAGCCTGGATACTTAACTTTTTGCCTCATAAATTAGACATGTTGTTAGTCCAGACAGAAATAATCTTGTAAATATTTATGGACAAATAATGTACTTTTTTTAATGTCAGCTAAACACATGTAGCATCTAAAGTTAGCCACAGAATTGTGATTGGTTAAACGGTGTTCAAGAAACAGGACTCCCATTTACACATACAAAGTCCGATTAACCGAATAAGTTTGAATCAACTCTGGGGTCTAGGTCAGCTGAATGTGAAAAACATGGAAATACAGCACTAGAGCCCCCTACAGAGAGAGCCAAAATTGTAAGGGGCAGATAGAAAATTAGTTTTGTCAAAATGATTGAAATTTTGCACAAAATTCCCTGATGATATTCAAATCCAAAAGTCAATGAGGTGTATTTTACGCCGTGTTGCTGTGGCGATGACAAACACTCCCCATTCTGTGACAATAATAAAATCTCTCACATTTTCACCTCACTTTAAACAAACCAGCCTTGATCGTTTCACAGATTTGTCTCAAAATTGATCCACATCATCTCAACATATGTAGCATCAAAACTCAGCTGCTGAATTCAGATCAGTTAAATAGGGTGCAAGCAGCGGTGCAGCAAATTCTGCCTTTTTTTCCCAAATTGGAATTTCAAATTTGCCCTAGTGTAATTATTCATAGTTCGATTAGCACCAAACGTGACAAACAGTTGTTCAACTCTTGGATCTTGGTTGGCTGAAAGTGAAGAAAATTAAATTGCAGCATTAGCGCCCCCTACAGAGTGATCCAAAGAATGACATGTACACTTTACCAAACCAGCCTCGGCCGTTATTCCAAAAGGGCTAAATTTCGCTCAACATACTGTAAACAATGTAGCATCAGAAGTTAGCTGCAGAATTTGTATAAGTTAGACATGTGCGTCCGGCAGTACGTGGCAGTACGTGGCAGTACGTGGCAGTACGTGGCAGTACACGGCAGTACACGGCAGTACGCGGCAGTACGTGGCAGTACGCGGCAGTACGTGGCAGTACGTGGCAGTACGCGGCAGTACGTGGCAGTACGTGACAGTACCTGGCAGTACACATAGAGCACTGATCATCGCCTGGACCCGTTCAATCCGGCCCACAACTTTATTCCAAAATTGTGAGGATCCAAAAAAAAACTTAAAGACGCTTCACATGTCTTCATTCTTTCACTCCATACACAGTGCTGACAAACCACTATTATAGCCACAGCTGCCCTGGGGCACACAGACAGAAGCGAGGCAACCAGTATGTGCCACCGGCCCCTCTGACAACCACCAACCCTTCATACACACACACACACCAGACTCATTCAAGGCAATGTAGGTGAAGTGTCTTGCCTAAGGACACAGCAACAGTTTGGCACTTTACAGCCGCAGCCGCCCTACTGCAGCACCTGGTGTTCCCAGAGGTCTCCCATCACAGTATTAACCAGGTCTGAAAGGATCTGGCTTTTGCATGCAAGTATGGCCACTGAAAACAAGATGGAGGGCCCGGTCTTACCTGGGATGACCTGCACGGAGAGTGCCGCCGTGCCAAACTCTCCGGTGCTGGTGTCCACCGCTCGTAACTGCAACACATTTAGTTTAAGTATTTTGCAGTTGCTCTGATGATGTAGGAATGAGGTGATGAGGGAGTGACCTGCAGAGCGAAGGACTCGGTCTTCACCACTCGTTTGAGAATCACAAAGCCATCGCTGGTCACGTTCACATAACTGCTGTACTGCACCTCGTACTTCATGTCCGGGTTCACGCCCTGGAACAAAGACGTGAGAAGGTCAGTACAAGAATATTAATTTCATTTTATTTACAACAGCCGTCGTCTCAGATCAGAAAATCAAAATGTTCAAACACAAGAAATGCAATAATAACAAACACATAGGAGCCATTGGTCCATAGGGAGAGGGATGACCACTGACCACTGCTGATAAATGTCCATAAATGTCCTTAGACCCTTCTGCATCGACAAAGAACTACTCAAAAAAAAACCAGTGGGATAAAAGTGAGAAACCTTGGGGAGTCTCATATGGAGAGAGGGATCTGCTATCACGGACAGACAGGCTGTAGATCCAGGAGTCAGGCTGTAGAATATTTAGTCTGGGAACCATTCATTCATTTTCTCATAGGAGTGATGTGGTTTACAATTGTTCTTGGCCAATAAGGAAGAAGCAAAAAAGGATGAATGATGAACGATGGTGCCAAACGAAGTGAAACCTGAGGGAAGATCGCTTTTGCTATCTGTAAACAAACTACAAGCTTTCATATTTGGCATAGTGCGTCATCATGTCTTGCCGTCTCTCCTTGATCTGTGATTGGTCATCTTGGACTCCTGGGATTACAGACTAGTCTAGAGCTAAAGCTGGTGTGGTCCAGTCTCAAAGCCGGTGTGGTCTGTTACCGTGGCGAAGTCGTCGTCACGAGCCCGGAGCCTGAAGGGCCGGTTGGATCCACGGTCCCTCAGCACCAGACTCTCGGGGACAGAGTTGCTGTAGATGAAGCCGTCAAAGCGCTCCCTCTCAAAACGAGGAGGACTCCGGCTCTTCTTCATCACCTCGAACACCACCTGGGCCACCGCAAACTGGTCCCGGTTCTGGACTTGCGAAGCCTGGAAGCACAAAGAGGAGAGGCCGTTACTCTGCCCCCTGCTGGTGAGAGCGTGCAGCAAAGGAGGAGCGGCTGTGACAAAGACTGACAGCTAACAAGTCAGTAGGATAAGCTGATTTCTGATAAAGCTTGTGGACCACGCCCAGTGCTCTAGGTGCACAGTGTGCTCCTGGGCCCTGGATCCCATGCTCTAAAGCTGTGTTCACACCAAAAGCTTTAAAACGCCTGTGATGCGAGTTGTTGATGCGGATTTATTTTTGTCATTTTGGTGCTTGTGCTCCTGACGCGCCTGATGCGCTTGATGCGCCTGACGCCCGTTGGGAGGAGTTTCTCTGTTGCCGGTGTAGTCAAGAGACAATGATGGATTTCCAGAGAGCAGCTACCTTTAGTTGTTATATAAAGCAATACAACGAGGTCGTAGCTTCTTTACGATGTGTTCTGGGTTCACCACAGACTTGAGAGTCTGTAGTGTTTGCTGAGTTTCACCATTTACTCCAGGAGCGGCGTACAGAGTTTCGCTTTCAACACTACTTCCGCATGTCACTCGCCCAGTTTGAGTACCCGCTCATCCGCATCAGAGCTCGGATCACTCGCTTGGAGCTCGCATTGCCGCCTGGACACCAACTACAGGTACTCGATTCCCGAGGGGATGCGCCTGTCTATCTGTCTGCTGTGTCTGAGCCAGACTCAGCGTCAGCTTGTTCTCATTTAACAATAATGACAAAACAGCAAAGCAGCAGCTACATGACTTCTTTCCATGATTCTCAGCTTCTGCGCCAAGGGACTTTGTTGCCGTTTGACGCTTTTGACGCGCGCCAAGTGACACCACCTGACGCACGCCACCATTCATTTTGAATGCAAACCTGACGCTTCTGAAGTCCGGTGTGAACGCAGCTTAATGGTGCTTTCAGACCACCAACGCTGAAATACGGAAGCCCCGCTCACCAGACGCGCATTCTCTAGTTTTCAGACGCAGAGGACTTCACACCAGAACGTCCTGACGCGAGCCGGAAGTACCGGAAGTAGCCGGCCGGCTCTGATGCTAACAGAGCTATGCTAGCGGCTTCTTGTACAGATCTTATATGCAGCTTTGCAGCGTGTCTTTGCTCACAGACATTCCACGGGCTTTATATAATAGTAGTATGTGTTCAGGGAGGTGCGCCATACGTTTTTTCATATTATTAAACGGTATTTCCGCATCGGCGAACACACTCGAAGCAGTTGCATAAGGTCACGGGAGCATGACAACGCATATTTTCACAAGCACACAGTCCCCCATTGTCAACCCTGGTTTGAGTTCTGGTGAAGCCTGGTGTGGGTCCTGTTTTGGCTGTTTACGAGTATTTTCAGTCTGTTCGCTCAGTCCTCTAATGTCCCCGTGACCACTTTGCTGCTCTCTGATTGGTTGTCGCACGAATGTCCCAAGGAAAGGATGAGCAGAATCCATCTCCTGTGGGCGTTGATTTTTCGCTCCTGCTCCTCCCTTTTCACTTTCCCGCCAAGTCCGTGCGTCATTATTGAACAGTCAGTTTGTGCGTGCCGAGAGGTCTGTGCGTTGCGACGGCCAAACGCGCGCCACCATAGACTTTGCATTGAAACCCGACGCAACGCATGATCCGGTCTGAAAGCACCATAAGACCTAGGTCTAGAAGGCAGAAGTGAGCAGAAATCTCAATCCCGGGGGTTTGGTGTATAGATTGTTTTGTTTTCCAAAACATTTTTGCAACTCTAAAACAAATTGCTAGAAAAGACATGAAGGTTGTTTGTAATCATACAATAAGTTATGAAATCCAACATAATGAACCATTGCCAATATAAGAGGTAACAACTAAAATAGATCAAACCTACCAATATTTAGTATATAGTACTACATGAAAAAATACATTTTAAAAACCAAATCAATTATCTTTATGTCATTATAGTTTTTGTCTCAAAAGAAATATGCCCAATTGTCTTCCGAATGAAATATGATTTTTCTAGGGGGAAATGTTTAGGACTAAAAACTTAGGGAAAAGATAGCAATAACTCACTCGAACCTCTGAAATAATGACTTAAGACTCAAGATAAAAACATGTTTATCCATTTGTTCTAAAAGATGTAAGTTAGAGCCACTCACGATGACCGTCAGACTGATGGGGCCCAGGACGTCTGCAACTTTGGTCATAGTGATGTTTCCAGTCTCTTCGTCCATTTGGAACAGGTTTCCCTCATTTCCTGAACAAAACACACACAAACTAAACACAAGGCTAAAACATGTTTTGTTTATGTTGGTTTAGTTCATCTTTTCAGTTTCAAATGTTTTCATTATTGACACATTTTGTTCCCATCCCGGCATTACTGATCTGAAGTGACCGTGACTGAAATCTAAACCGAGTCCTGGTTTGAGAGGAATACTTTGAAATACTGATGTCTTTGTGTTCGTATTTTTTATTTTTCGGGGCAGCTTGTTTTAAAGACGACAATGTATGTAACATTGACGTTTTTGAGCTGTCTCACGTTCATGAGGACATAGATATCTCAGACATGTGTAAATGACAAGAGAAAACAATTGGGACATAAAATAACATAACTTCTCTTCTATTTTGACCTTTAACAGATACTGACGTAATAATCACCATAATTAGCTCATTTTTCATCCGTCGTCCGGTTATAGAATTCTTTAAAGCAATAGGCCCTTACCCCAGTCGAGGCTCGGACCTAATTAACATTGAATAGTTACTGTATATGAGTGAGTTATTAGCTTATAGTTAAATAAAGCACATATGATCTGTTGGCAGCCAGGTCAGCCGATGGATGGGAGACGTCTTTCTACATGTCTGTGGCAATATCTGCGCCAAAGAACGATGTGTCCAGGGTCACGCTGATTGTTTTTCATATCATCAGAGTTGTATCGGTGTAAGGAGGCGTGAAGAGAAGCCTTGAGCGACACATATCGATACTGATTTCCCTTTTTTTAATATATAGAGCAGAAATGTCTTGTTTACTCTGGTCTATTTAGTGTCCGTCATTTCCTCATTCGGGGCAGACGGTTTCAGGCGGCTGCAGGTGGTCTCGGTATCGATTCTGTTATCATGGTTTTTTTATTTGATTTGATTTTTTATGATTTTACTGTTTTATTATGGACTTGTCTTTTATTGTGCATCACTTTGAAAACTGTATTTATGAATTGTGCTATATAAATAAAGTAGATTGCATAGAGATGATACCTTTGAGGATCTTGTAGCTGATCTGCTCACTAAGGTTTCGGTCTCCGTCTTTGGCAAACACCGGCCCAGGCTCCAGCACCAGGGGCCCCTCCTGTACAGTCATGAATATTTCTGTAAATATTATAATACTTTTTAAATTTCCTTAATAATCTAAAACAGATTTGTTTCCATGATGTGGTTAGTTTCAATCTCTCACCTCCTCAATGAGAGAAGTTCTGGTCTCTCACCTCCTCAATGAGAGAAGTTCTGGTCTCTCACCTCCTCAATGAGAGTAGTTCTGGTCTCTTGCCTCCTGGTTGAGGTTAGTTCTGTCTCTCGCCTCCTCATTGAGGTTAGTTCTGGTCTCTCGCCTCTTCAATGAGAGTAGTTCTGGTCTCTCGCCTCCTCGTTGAGGTTAGTTCTGGTCTTTCACCTCCTCAATGAGAGTAGTTCTAGTCTCTCGCCTCCTGGTTGAGGTTAGTTCTAGTCTCTTGCCTCCTCGTTGAGGTTAGTTCTGGTCTCTTGCCTCCTCGTTGAGGTTAGTTCTGGTCTCTTGCCTCCTCGTTGAGGTTAGTTCTGGTCTCTTGCCTCCTCGTTGAGGTTAGTTCTGGTCTCTTGCCTCCTCGTTGAGGTTAGTTCTGGTCTCTTGCCTCCTCGTTGAGGTTAGTTCTGGTCTCTTGCCTCCTCGTTGAGGTTAGTTCTGGTCTTTCACCTCCTCAATGAGAGTAGTTCTGGTCTCTCGCCTCCTGGTTAAGGTTAGTTCTAGTCTCTCGCCTCCTGGTTGAGATTAGTTCTGGTCTCTCACCTCCTGGTTGAGGTTAGTTCTAGTCTCTTGCCTCCTCGTTGAGGCTAGTTCTGGTCTTTCACCTCTTCAATGAGAGTAGTTCTGGTCTCTCGCCTCCTGGTTGAGGTTAGTTCTAGTCTCTTGCCTCCTCGTTGAGGTTAGTTCTGGTCTCTTGCCTCCTCGTTGAGGTTAGTTCTGGTCTCTTGCCTCCTCGTTGAGGTTAGTTCTGGTCTCTTGCCTCCTTGTTGAGGTTAGTTCTGGTCTTTCACCTCCTCAATGAGAGTAGTTCTGGTCTCTCGCCTCCTGGTTGAGGTTAGTTCTAGTCTCTCGCCTCCTGGTTGAGATTAGTTCTGGTCTCTCACCTCCTGGTTGAGGTTAGTTCTAGTTTCTTGCCTCCTGGTTGAGGTTAGTTCTAGTCTCTCACCTCCTAGTTGAGGTTAGTTCTGGTCTCTCACGTTCTGGTCTTTCACCTCCTGGTTGAGGTTAGTTCTGGTCTCTCCCCTCCTCGTAGTCCTCGTCCTCGGGAGTAGTTCTGGTCTCTCACCTCCTTCTCGGTGAGGTTGACTCTCCCCTTGTAGCCTCCGCTCACACACAGCTTGCTGAGGCCCAGAGTGGCCCTCACACACGGCTGGAACCAGGGCGGCCGGTTGTCCACGTCCCGGATGTTCAGCGTGAGGGTCGCCACCGACGTGAAGAAGGGTTTGTTGGACGCAGATCCGTTAAACATGTCCTAAAGAGGGAAGACCACAGTCCCGACAAGTAGAGCTAAGGCAGAAATTCAGACTGGAATAGAGCAAGAACTGAGCTCACTACGATCAAAGTCTTTCCACTTGTCATGGTTTAGATTTATTTCCTGTTTTATTTTGTTTAATTTAGTTGTACTTCCTGTTTACGGATGACGTGCCCCGCCCTCATGTTAGTCTTGAGTTCAAACCCTGTGTGTCCCTTCACTCCCTGTTCCGTCATTGTCATTCCTCGTCTGTTTCATTTCTAGTCCTTGTTCCCTGTGTTTTCGCTGGATTTGCATTTGGATTACTTTTTATCAAATCCATTATCATGCAGTCCTGTGTTTTTTGGCTCATTTACATGTAAAGGTGCCATATTTTGCTTTTCTTCATTTTTCACAGTCCATCCTGTGCACATGTGTGATAACAATTTGGGTGATACACCATACAACGCCCAAAACTTGTGAAATTATTGCCATTTCGCGCATGGTGGTGATGTCACCTCATGTGAAACGCTTGGATCAGTGCTCCTCCAACAACACGGTTACACCAAGTTGACATGAAGGTAAAACAGAAAAGCACAGATGTATTTACTGTCTATGGGCCACACACTGGACTCGGAGAGAGGCTGCATGGGCTGACCGTAGACGACACTGGTTCAGTTTCTCCCTGCTGTACATCCCTTCCCTCCTGTTCCTGCTGCTGTGGGCGTGGCTATTCCTGCTCCCTGTTCCTGATTGGCCTGCACATCTGCCCCTCATCTCTAATCCCCTCTGTATTTAAGACTGGGCATTTCATCAGTCCTCTGCCAGATCCTCAGTCTACAATCAGTCTCGTGCCAGTTGCCAGCCTCCTCACCAGTGCTTCCTTTGCCATTTCACTCCAGCTCCTGCGCCTGTTCCAGTTCCTGCCCAGCCCTACCTGATTAACCTTCATTACACTCCTGTCAATAAATCCTGTTAACCGGTCCTATGCATTTGGGTTCAATCCTCTTGACAAAACATCGTCCCGATTTGAAACAGCTTGTTTCTGTGCCTCCCGAGAATGAAAGAGAAAGATCGCTCTCTATCTTAAGCTTATTTGAGTCACTTTGTGCCTCCTTTGGTTGATTGACAGCTGCTGTGGTCGTTACTGGTACTGTGGGAAAAGGAGTGGACTTAGCTGTTGTCGTAAATGAAGTGCACGTCAAAAGTCCATTCTGATGAAAACTGTCCATAACCGATGAGCAGTGTTTGGGAGTTATGTATTCAGAATCCTCTTTTTTCTGTATTCTGTTACTGTTAAGCTTTATTTATATACCGCCTTTCACAGACCAGAGTCACAAAGCGGTTTACAATTGTTATTTTTTGGGCACTTGTCCTCTCACTCCACACAGAGATGGGAGCGGGGTCGCCGAACAGGAGGCGCATGCCAGACCTATTGTACATTTTTTTAGTGGTAGGGGAAACCGGAGTACCCGGAGGAAACCTACGCAGTAAGTACTTACTACTTTAGAGTTCAGTATTTAGTTACTTTTTGAATATCACAGTTATACATACTTCCTCATATTATATTGTTATGTCTATGATGAGGTATCCCCCACAGTCATGTTGAACCACAGTTGTACCTGCACGTGTAGCACCAGAGTAACCTTCTGAATCGTGTCGTAGTCGATCACACTCCTCACCACAATCTTTGGGCTTGTTGCATTCTCCAGACGGAAATACTTGTCCTGCTCCAAAGACACCAGCTTTTCAATCACACCATATATACATCACAGGGCCACATATTGAAAATATTAGTGTGAAAATGTGGATGGACCATAGACTGTATACACAGACAATGCTAACCACCTAGCTCGATGAAGCCCAATAGGGAACTGCTCCAACTCGCTGTGGCTCTTATTGCTTACATTGAAAGAGTTGAAGAGATATTTGTGTAGGCTTTCATTTGTACAGAGATTATTCAAAACATCATCTGTACTTCAGTTAGCAGGTTCAGGTAGAATTATTGTTCATTTATCTTGTGTTCCTATTTCCTACTGTGTGTAATTGGCAAAGCAACACTGGAATATAGGGTATCTTAATCTTAATAATTTGTGGTTTAGCTCCCTCTGTGATCCTTGTCTTTGCCATTGTAAAAAATGCCCATATAAGGACTTTGGCTAGCTTCTGTTCAAATCGGCTTCTACAGCATTAAGACTAACTCTATGGTGAGGCCACTCCTGATATACAGGCTATGGGATGGATCTAAAAACAAAAGGGTTTTGATGGAACATGTTGGAACAATGAGATGTAAACTAAATTCCTTCACGTATTTCTTAGAACACAGTGTTGGAACTCTGGCTCGTTACCGTCGCTGGTTCCAGTCTGTAGTAAAGCGGCTCCGAGTCGACGTCTGTGGCTTCGATAGAACCCACACTGGAGTTCACGGCAGACAGCTGGCAAGGAGCACAACCATAGACAGTAAATATTAACGGACGTAGTCACGCCTATCTCCGCCGTTCTAACTAATGTGCCACAACTTCTGTGGTCTACAGGCAGTTTCAAAATGGCCGAGGGGGCTGGAAAATGTGAAAAAGCGCATCTGCGCATGCGTCAGCCGGAATGAGCCCCATTCATTTAACAAGAGCCTTCAAAAATTCACAGCAACTAAACTAGACTAGTCCAAAACACTCCCCTCAGCATTTTCACACATGTGGAATGGAGCTTTGGGCCAAGAGCCAACTTTTGGACCATCCAGTAAAGACGTTTTTGAGATGCCAGAAGATACGTACATTTGCATTGATCCCTTTCCGGGTCCAGCCCCTCTGGCCCAGTGTGGTATTGCAAGCATGTCAGCGCACACCATTTTGGCCACTTTTGAGCCGGGACCCGCCCCCACTGGAAAAAAACGCATCTGCGCATGCGTCAGCTGCACGAGCCCCATTCATTTAACGAGTGCCTTCAAAATTTCACAGCGAGTAAAGTAGAGTGGTCCAAAAAAATTCACTCCCCTCAGCATTGACACACATGTGGAACGGAGCTTTGGGCCAAGAGCCAACTTTTGGACCATCCTGGTGTTTTCGAGAGGTCAGCTAATGCTATATGTTAGCACTGGCTAATTCTCATTCCGGGTCCACCCCCATCGGCCCGGGATGGTATTGCAAGCATGTCAGCGCACGTCATTTTGGCCACTTTTGAGCCTGGACCCGCCCCAGAAAAGTACTGTCAAAGTGCTGTTACTCTGGCAAAGTGCTGCTACACTCAGAAGTACTGTTACACCGTCAGATATACGTATTACTGAAACATGAGTACTGCATGTGAGCGTCTTCAGAAGTGGTGATGTCATAAGAGAGTGGAGTTGGACCTCGTTGACGTCCAGAGCGTAGTGCGTTCGGTCGAAGTTCGGAGGGTTGTCGTTGACGTTCTCCACCAGTACCTCCACAGACTCGCTCAGCTGCACACACCAAATCCCACTTGTTTAGAAAATCTGAATTAATAATAACCCTTTAATAGTTTCCTCGATCATGTGGTTAATCACTTTTTGAGTCATGATAACATACTTTTTTATTAGTATGTTTGACAGGGACTGCATTAATACCCCAAAACTAACATTACTTTAAGAAGGCTATTTTTCATCTCCCTGGACAGGTGTACGTAGTCTCCCAAAATATAATAACATTAAAAAGTCATACAATAATAAAATGCAGTAAAACACCACGCGGTAAAACACACAGAGTGCACTTGTATATTGTAATAATCGCAATAATTTTACTTTAATTCTAGTTTAATTGTGTATATGTTTGAAAATGTGATACTTTAGAACTGTCTTTCTCTACTTTTGACTTGCCCGGAGAGCCAAAGCAATTTCCTAGTCTGTTACTTCCTGTTACTTACGTGGCACTAAAAATGATTCTGTTTCTGACAAAGGGGAGAAAACAAGAAAAACACAAATCACACGATAAAACTTTAAGCTTAGCACGGAAAGCTATCTCATTGGGGCGTCTCTATCACTTAGTTTTTGGGAACTTTTACCATCAAAACTGCATTTCAAGCATTTGGTAAAAAGTCTATAATTGAAAAAGTAGGGGTTGAAATGAAAAGAAATCGGAAAAATAACTATTTGTGTTAAAAGTGCTCCCACAGAACAAAAGCAGAGGGCTCCAGAGCTGCAGGTGGTGTGGGTGACGTGGGGCAGAGGGCTCCAGAGCTGCAGGTGGTGTGGGTGACCGGTGACGTGATCCTTCTTTATTCGTATATGCCACATTTACTCATAAATAAACTCACACTTTGATTGTGTTGCAGCTAAAAACTCACAATAGTTATTTTCCAGTGTGTGTGGAGCAGATACTCACGGTGTAGTTGTCTGTTTTACACTGCACCCACACGGTCAGAGTCGGACTGGACAAAGCCTGCGAAGGGAAAAAACAGACATTTGTTGATTTTATATGACCCAGAAAATACTTTTGTTTTAGTTTTGTTGTTAACTTTACATCATCTTTTCTGTACACCTTAAACTGTTATCCTGTAAGACACACTTAAACATGGTCAAACAGAACTCAATAATATTAAAAAGTGGGACTCTGAGGAGCACAGGGACTGGCCTCCTGTCGGGACTCTGAGGTGCCATATGAATGAACTGTGCTATAAATAAACATTTAAGCTTGAAAAACGCACAATTTAAATCAATTTCTGTAAGTTGCAGATCGAGGGCAGATGCAATTACACATCTAAGGGAAATAAGCTTTTTGAAGGAAAAAAGAAAATGGACAAATGTTTTCCCAGATCTTTTAATTCTAAGTCAAAATCATGATCATGTTTTTGAATCTTGTCACCACTTCTAGAGTCCTGGGTAAATAGACTGTTTGTCTGTGGGAGCCGACCCCTCTCTCAATCATAATGTCATAAAGCCACCTGTGCCATTCCTTTAGTGATAACACAAAGAATACATAACAGAAAAACATCTGAAGTTAATCAGTCTAATCAGGAAAATCTAATTCTTGTTCCATGTAAAAATCAGCCGACCACAACCGCTGATCCTGAAACTTTTAAACTTGCTACGCTTAATGTCAGATCTCTTTGTATCAAGTCTTTTTTAATCAATAATTTTATTTGTTCTCATAATCTTGATCTTATGTTCCTGGCTGAAACTTGGCTTGACCAAAATTCAGGAAATGCAGTTTTAATAGAAGCATCACCACCAAATTTCAAATTTGAATCTGAAATATGGGGAAACAAAAAAGGAGGAGGCTTAGCTGCCATTTTCAGAGACCACTTTGTGTCCCATAGAATGTCTCTTGGGAAGTTTTCGTCATTTGAATATGTGTCTTTTAAAATACAACAAAAACAATCTCCTCCAATACTCTTCATTGTCCTATACAAGCCACCGCAGTCATGTCACAGTTTTATTGATAATTTTACCGAGTTGCTTTCAGTTGTATGCACAGATTTTGATAGTTTAGTTATTACAGGTGATTTTAATATTCATGTGGATAATGTTAATGACAGAAATGCAAAAGAGCTGAGTTCTGTTCTTGAATCTTTTGGGCTCACTCAGCACGTGAGTGGCCCCACCCACAGCAGAGAGCACACTCTAGACCTGTTAGTTACAAAGGGGGTGAACATTTCTAATGTAAACGTGGTCCCACAGGGGTCGATCCTGGGACCTCTTCTGTTCAATCTCTACATGCTGCCGTTAGGTCAGTTAATACGCAGAAACAAAGTGTCCAGTGTCCATATCACAACTATGCAGACGACACTCAGATCTATGTCTCACTGACTGCAGGAGAACATGGACCAGTGGACTCACTCCTTCACTGTATCCAACAGATCAGTGAGTGGATGCAAAACAACTTCCTTCAGCTAAACGCAAACAAAACTGAAATTATTGTTTTTGGTCCCCAGAAACAAAGAGAGAGCGTCATCTGTCACCTCCAGTCTCTCTCCCTAAAACCTTCAAACCAGGTCAGAAATCTAGGGGTAATACTGGACTCAGACTTAAATGTTAATAGCCACATCAAATCAGTAACATCAGCAGCTTTTTACCATCTAAAAAACATTGCCAGGATCAAAAACATAGTGTCTAAAGCAGACTTGGAGATTCTTATCCATGCATTTGTCTCCAGTAGGTTAGACTACTGCAATGGCCTGCTCACAGGTCTGTCCAAACAGGCTGTAAAACAGCTGCAGTACATTCAAAATGCAGCAGCTCGAGTCCTGACAAGAACCAGGAAGTACGACCACATTAGTCCGGTCCTCAGGTCTCTGCACTGGCTTCCTGTGGCTCAGAGAATAGACTTTAAAACAGCTCTGCTTGTGTACAAGTCTCTCCATGGCCTCGCACCAAAATATATTAGTGACATGTTAGTCCCATATGAACCAGCCCGGACTCTGAGGAGCACAGGGACTGGACTCCTGTTAGTGCCCAGAGTCAGGACTAAACATGGGGAGGCTGCTTTTCAGATTCATGCTGCTAAAATCTGGAACAATCTTCCTGAAGATGTGAGACTGAAGATGCAGAACGGGAAGGAAACGAGCAGAGTTTGTGGCAGTAAAGTGTGGATTTAAAGAAAACCTAACGATTTAAGAAGAAATAAAGTTCAGGATGACAAGGGACATAAAAATCCCTACGAAATCTGATCTTTATGAAAGCTGTAGGTTCTCTGTCAGGTTCTCTGTCAGCTGAGGTCGAGCTGTTTTAGTTTACATTGAGTTCTATGAGACTTTTTTCTGGATAGCCCACGTGAATTTAGTCTGCAGTACCACGGGCGCCCCCTGTGTCCATGGGTGGGACAGCTGCAAGCTAGTATAACCCTATCCAGTTATTATTGTAGATCCATGGATTTAGGGCTGTAAAAGACAATTTGAATTCAACTTCTTGTGAAAATAGTGAGACCATAGTTGATATGAGCGGCTATAGGCGCTTTGAAAAGTTTCAGCCTACACTGCAAAAAAAGATAAAACAAGAGGTAATAATTGCTTGAGAACATTCTGACTGTGTTAAAACAATATTTGCCAACAAGATAAATCATTTAGTCTTATTTCAAGAACTGTTGCTTTATTTTCCCATTTCAAGGGAGACGTTTCTTGTATCATTTTAAAACTTGATCATTTTGCTCTTTGTCCCATTGCAAAATCTTGTTTTAAGGCAGTCAGAATGTACTCAAATTGTGATACATTTAGCAAAATGTTAGCACTTTTTTCATCACCTTTTACAAATCTGTTTATTTGTTTCAGTGAGCACTTCTCCTTTGCTGAGATAATCCACTCAATCGCTCAAAATTCTGAGACATGTTCAGTTTTGCTTCCTTCAGAAAACTAATGTCAGAATCCGAACCACTGCTTTTGCTGTAATAATCCACCTTCACTCGGAGCTGAATTGGGAAGCTATGGATCGCCATGTACGACAGCATGATCCTGTTCCTGCTAACATGCAACAACTTCAGACAAATGTGGAAGCACCAACTTTTTAAAGGCCGCAATCAACAACCGGATCAGGTCTATGTGAAGGCAAGCTACAGAGGGGGACCATGTGGAGCCTCCATGTTTTTGATCCGCAATGGTCTTGTTTCTAGACCCAAAGTCCTGGTCTGGGGCTCACCTCAAAGTCCAGTCCTCTCTTGGCCATCAGTGCATTGCCATTCAGATAGAAGAGCTCATCCGGGTTCACGAGGAGATCCAAAACCAGGTCCGGACTGGGACTGGTGTCGATCTGGACCACCTCCACATCCACAGTGTTGTTCTCTGCGACCAGGACCGGACCAGACGGGACTATGCAGACTGGGAGAAAAGAGAGAACCAGGTTTGAACCAGGATCCTTTCAGATCCTGATTTAGTCCTCCTTTTGTCCTGCTTTACATTTGCTTTAATCCTATTTGGACCTGCTTCAGCCCTGGTTCAGTTCTGCCTGGTTTAAACCCTCTTCCGACCTGCTTCCGTTCTTGCTTGGACCCTCTTCAGTCCTGCTTTGGACCTGCTTGAGCCCTGGTTTAGTCCTGCTTTAGTCCTGGTTTAGTCCTGCTTTAGTCCTGGTTTAGTCCTGGTTTAGTCCTGGTTTAGTCCTGGTTTAGTCCTGGTTCCGTCCCACTTCAGTCCTACTTATGTCTTGGACCCTCTTTAATCCTGGTTTAGACCTGCTTTGCACCTGCTTTAGCCCTGGTTTAGTTCTGCTGTAGTCCTGGTTTAGATACTTGTTAGTCCGGCTTTAGTCCTGGTTCAGCTCCACTTTTCATGCTTTTGTCCCTCTTTAGTCCTGGTTTAGATCCTCTTTTGTCCTGCTTCAGTCCTGCTTTAGTCCTGGTTTAGACCCTTGTCAGTCCTGCTTTAGTCCTGGTTTAGACCCTCGTCAGTCCTGCTTTAGTCCTGGTTTAGACCCTCGTCAGTCCTGCTTTAGTCCTGGTTTAGACCCTTGTCAGTCCTGCTTTTGTCCTGCATCAGTCCTGGTTTAGAACCTCTCTCGTCCTTCTTCAGTCCTGCTTTGGACCTGGTTTAGTTGTGGTTTAGTCCTGCATTAGTCCTGGTCTAGACTTACTTTAGTCCTTGTTTGGTCCCACTTTAGTCCTTCTCTTGTCCCTCTTTAGTCCTGGTTTAGACCCTCTTTCGTCCTGCTTCAGTCCTGCATCAGTGCTGATTTGGTCCGGCTTTAGTCCTGGTCTAGACCTGTTTTAGTCCTGCTTTAGTCTTGGTCCAGTCCAGACTCACTTCTCTGGCTGCGTGCGTACTCCACCATCAGCAGCAGGAGGACGCTGAGGACCGGGGCCGCGGTCTGTTTGTCCTCCATCTTCTTTGGGCAGTGGCACGAGCTGGTACTGAGCCGCCCAGGCACGAAGGCATGGCCGTGCACGAGAGAGGAGCGTGCACGTGGACCCGGGGAAGAGCGTGCACGTGAACAATCAGACCTCTGTGAAAGCGGGACGGCCCTCGCTACAGCTGTGTCTGTGGAAGTCCCAGATGGAAGAGCCAGAGGTGGAGGGAAGGGAACACTGCTGATCAAAAGTCTGGGAAATGACTCTTTTTCATTGTGTGATTAAAGCTGAGGTCCGTAACTTTGATCCTCGTTATGAATGAATGAAATCTGTAAAGTTTCAGGCTCTTTGACCAGTTTTTACAACATGGTTTTCACACACACATATTTTTATAAATGTATTGGTTTTTGTTTTATTTGGTCGAGACAGTGGCCAAACTACATTGCGTCAGATCTCAGAAGCTAAGCAGAGTAGGGCCTGGTTAGTACTGTGATGGGAGACCTCTGGGAACGCCTCAGTGGGGCGGCTGTGGCTGCACAGTGCCAAACTGTGGTTGGGTTTTTAGGCAAGACACTTCACTCACATTTCCTTGAGTGAAGCTGGTGTGTGTGTGAATGGTTGGTGGTGGTGGGAGGGGCCAAAGGCACAAACTGGTTTCCCCGCTTCTGTCAGTGTGCCCCAGGGCAGCTGTGGCCACAGTAGTAGTTAATCACCACTGTGTCTGGAGTGAAAGAATGACATGTGAAGCGTCTTTGAGTGTCCTGAAAAGCGCTACATAAAACCGATTTATAATTATGATAATTATCATCATCATGATCAGCAGCAATTATAACCCCAGAGTTTATTTTATTTTATTTTATTCTTCATCTTATTTCAATTCTATTGTCTATTATCTTTAATAATAGACTCAATTTAATGTGTGCAATCTGAGTGATTTCCCTCTTTCTCTGCTGTAATGTGCGCAACGATGACACTGACATTTCTCCACTGTGAGACGAATAAAGATACATCTTATCTTCATCATCATCATCATCATCATCATCATCGTCATCATTAGTATTATTGTTATTATTATTATTAGTAGTAGTAGTAGCATTACCATTATCATCATCATGAACACACCCTAGGCTAATTTCCATTCATTCATCCTGGACCATTGGTAGGAATCTGGAGCACTCAGAGGAAACTCAAACGCATACATGTGGAGAACATGCAAACTCTGCACTGAGGCCTGGGCTGACACAGGATCAAACCGTCTCTGTCACGGTGCCAAAACGTGTTCATGATTAAACAAAACCAGCTTTATTTAGAAATGCCCGAATTCCAAATACAGACCTCTGTGAAAAGTTCACAGTGTCATCCAGCCAACTTCATAGTTACCTTGTTGTACAGCTCAGAACCTCTGGAATTCAGCCTTTAACTTTATTTGGATATAGTGACATTTGTTTTTTGACAGTTTCACAAAATTCCATGAATAGCACCTATGTGGCTGGTGAGATGGTCATTTGTCATTCAGCCAACTCCAGCTCTGTCAAAACACATTTTAAAGCTCAGAACAATCAAAAACAGGGGACATGACGTCTGTTGTTGTCCCTCATGAACACGCAGGCGTGTGTCACCATGAGCGTGCACGTGGGCAGTGGGCGCGCACAGACTCCGCGTTGTGACTTCATGCAGCTCCCACACTCTTCACATTTCTGAATGTAAAGCAGACGCGGGCACACAACACACGCACACACACACACACACACGCATAGAGGCACGTACACAGACACGCACGCACGCACACAGACGCAGAGAAGCACATACACAGACACGCACGCACGCAGGCACACACACACAAATAAACTTGCCTTGTTTCTGACTAAGCTACTCTCAACCGTCGCGGCATGGATGAACTTAGAAGAAGCATGGCTAATCAAAACAATTAAACTAACAAACATGACTAACCACCCTGCATGAATGGACTTAGAAGCATGGCTAACCACAATTAAGTACACACACACGCACACACACACACATATTAAAAGTGTGTCGCTATGGTAACTAGCCCTTACGAATTTACCCAGCTCACTCCGATCAGAACCAGGACCAGTTCAGAACCAGGACCAGTTCAGAGCCAGGACCAGTCCAGAACCAGGAACAGTCCAGAACCAGGACCAGTTCTGACATCACTTCACCTTGATCCAGAAAAAGTCACACATAAAACCAAAGATTTACACGCGCAGAGAAATTACACTTCCAAACCCAAAAACTGTCAAATTAACTGCTCTGGGAGTTCTTGAGTTAAAGTTTAATGTTTTTGTTTTTGTTTTTTTAAGTCTGGAAATAAGTGGGATACGGATGTGTGTGTAAGTGTCACAAGGGTTTGACAGTTTCAGAGATTCATGATGTATTGTTTGGTGTTGCCATTAATAATATTTTAATATGGTGTTAATAATCTTATATTGTCAGCTAAACATTACATTCACAAGTGCCATTTAAAAAAAAAAACTATCCTGAGGAATAAGTTAGAACAATTCACTCAATCAAAAAATCTAAGAATGCTAAAAAACCACTATCATGTATTAATACATGCCCTTTACATTGACAGATGACAACAAACGTTTAAATGTATGCCTTTTTTTCTTTTGTCTTTTTGTATGATTGTTTTTTGTATATTAAGGCAGCTGCTTTGATTGTATTCTGTTTGAATCTGTAATAAAATATCAAAAGAATTAATAAAAAAAAGGGTTTGACAGTTTTATATAATCACAGGAAAAAAGTACATTGTTATCACCATAGTGACAGATAACATGAACATATGCATATGTATTATTTTGTGTTTTTTTTAATCAACATTGTTTTTTGCTTTTGAATTATATAAACTAAAACAAAAAAGTAGTCAGTGTAAATAAATTCAATGTTTAAAAATTCAGTTTTCAAAAATTCAATGTTATAAAATTCAGTGTCAAAATATTCATTGTTACATGCATAATATATTTAACTGCTTCTAATTATCATACTACTGCACCTCTGGTTAGATACTAAACTGAATTGTGTTGCCTTGTTCTGCCTTTGTCATTTCAATAAAGTTAAATCTAATCTAATCTAATGTAATAAAATGCGACGGAAGCCCAGCAGCTCTACAGAATGATTAGTGTATATATTTATGGTCTTTCTACAGCAGTCACCTTCCTCTTTACGACTGATCTACTCAGAGTCTGATCTTTTCATTATCTAAACCTTGATTTAATTTGTCTGGACCACATTGTAAACTCATAAACTGCTATCAATGCAGATAACGCAGATAACGCTGATTGTTTTGGCCCTGAGTCCGGCGCTCAGCTGTGATGTCACCACGAGCCTGCAGAGGGCGCTGTTTGCATGTGTTCTGGTTTCATGTTTGCACTGGCGTGATTCTGAGCACTTGCTGATGCGTAAAAGACGTAAAAACTAATATTATTATACCGAGAATAAAGAGTTCAAGCATTTATAAAGCTGCGGGATCATCTATGGTCCCTCAGAGAAGCTTTGACACATTGACATCAAAACACACTGTAAAAAAAAACACACAAAAGGTCATTTAAAACCATGAAAAAAAAGCTAATTTATTTATTGTGATATATTATTTTTATTATTATTATTATTATTATTATTATTATTATTATTATTTTCTATGTTTTGTTCAGCACTTTGAGTTTCGTGTGAATGAACTGTGCTATACAAATAAACTTATCAGGGAAGGGTATAGGAAACTCATGTCAAGGCTAACCATGGCTAGCCATATGGCATTGATTTACTTAGAAGCATTGTTAACCACAGATTACTTTAAAAGAAGCATGGCTAATCAATATTGAACTAACGAACTTAAAAACATCGCTAACCACATTGCATAAAGCACAGCTAACACCAATGAATACATGAACTTAGAAGCATGGCTAACCACACTGAATATATGAACTGAGAAGCATGCTATCACAATGAAATGATGGACTTTAGAAGCATGGCTGACCACACTGAATTTATTTACATAGAAACATGGCTTACCACTATGAATTAATGAACTTAGAAGCATAGTGTTACGACTACTGCTACACTGTCAGACTGTAGTAAGAGTACTGCTACTCTGTCAGACTGTAGTAAGAGTACTGCTACTCTGTCAGACTGTAGTAAGAGTACTTTTACACTGTCAGACTGTAGTAAGAGTACTTTTACACTGTCAGACTGTAGTAAGAGTACTTTTACACTGTCAGACAGCAGTAGGAGTACTTTTACACTGTCAGACTGTAGTAGGAGTACTTCTACACGGTCGCAGATACGGAGACACGACATTATAAAGTGTCTTTAATACCAAAACGCGCGTCTCCCGGGAGTGAACGGGTTAACCTCACAAATAGGATGAATGGATTGTGACGCATCTGATTACACACGTGCGCGCGCAGGAGGCTTCGGGAGCGCGCACCACGCAGGGAGCAACAGCGAGACGTTCCACCGAGCGCAGCCCAAGTCGCTGTATCAATCCGCGGGCCACGAACTAACGCGAAACAACCACGATCACGGGAGAGACCAGAGAGAGACCCAGAGAGAGACCCAGAGACCGAAAGAGACCTGAGAGAGACCCAGAGACCTCACAGCACGCGCGCCGTACTGCCCTCCGAAAGCCCCGGCGAGAGGGAGAGACCTGTGGAGGGGAGAGAGAGAACACGCAAACTGAAGCGGACCGTGCGCAGTCAACAGGAGAGAGGAGTTCTTTTCCTTTTTTAATTGTTTTACAACCACAGTATTACAACATTGAGAGTTTGCGTCAAAAGTAGGACGTCAGCCGCGGTTGGATCCACGCACGTCGGGACCAGAGCAGGTAAGCGCGCACCTGGACACTCAAATGCGTGGTCTGGAGCCCTCCCTGTTGCTTACGTGCATTTGTGTGAGCGTGGTTCCCAGTCGCCTTGAACTGCACAGAGTAGAGGCTCGTATTAAAGGTGTATAGGACGATTTTCTACTTCCGGGTGGTTCATCAAGACTATTGGTCCTCCTACTTGTCAATCACTCTGGTGAAACGTGCTCATGTCAGTTGTGTTCAGAAAGTGGAGAGGGCGGTTCTCTCCTAAAATTTGGGAAAATCCTCCTATATACCTATTTTAAGTTTGTCCTTTTGATTCTTTCGTGATGGAATAATCCTGTGTTGTCCTGCATTCAAGGCTGATAAAATGTCTGTTTCACCTGTCTCCTATCTCCGCCCACTTCCCCGTTCTTTGGTGACGTCACAGGGCGATATGGTCCAAAGAATGTTCTCTTGATATTTTCTATTTCTCGAGACTTGCGCGTAGTGAAAGTGGAATTGTTTTTGTTCTTCCAATCCATTTTCGAAATCGTTTGTTGTTTTTGTTCTGCGGAATTGAGTCAAACAAGTTTTAAAGTGGGGAGGTGCCATTTCAGATTCATACTGCTAAAATATGGAACTGTTTTCTTAATAATGTGAGGCAGGCTTCTTGGTCAAATCCAGGTTGATAATAGTTCTGTTTAGCTGTGCATACAAGTGAAGGTTTTTTTGTTTACTTTAATCATTGCTTTTATTTTGTTTCGCTCTTTGAATCACCTTGAGCCTGAACTGTGCTATACAGATAAACACGCCTTGCGTTTCCCACCATTATGATAATACTTTTACACATTCATTTTCCATCGGTTTTGTACGTACTGCCCTGTTTGGGTCTTCAAAGCATGCCCCATGACTAACCACAAAGATAATGGACTTGGGAAGCATGGCTAACCACGCTGAACAAATTAATTTAGAAGCATGGCTAACCGCAATTCATGACATGCTCGCTTTTCTCCGTTTCATCATGGCAAATTTTTAAAAGCGAGGAGTAAAAGTGGAAAGCTACCATAAAAATAAAGTACAAATGGTCAGGGGTGTCTGCAGTGGGCCCGGCTGCTGTATCAGACTGATGTGGATGGAGCAGCGTCTGCCGTCAAAGCTCTGGATTTATCAGTTAATCTCATTGTTCCAACCCCCACTTATGGTCACTTTGGAAACGACCCAAAGGACAAATTACAAGCGAAGGAGAAAAGTCTGGGCTGGTGTTTTTAGAGATACAGCAAAGAGCACAATCACACGGGAGGAGCTCGGAGTAGAGCCGCTGCTTATCCACAGCCAGAGGAGCCAGTGGAGGTGGCGAGGGGAGGTCTTCTGGGCATGTCCCATCGAGACCCAGGACGTGTTGGAGGGTCTATGTCTGGTAATACCTTGAGATTCCCCCTTTTGAGCTGAGTAAAGTGGCTTAAACTGCTGCGTCCGGGCAATGGATAAACCGGAAGAAAGATAATGGATGGATGGACGGACCTGTCACGTTAATGGCTGGATTTCATTGGGATGATGGGATTATCCTGCTCTGTTATACTTGCGTTAGTGGCTTTTAACATGATGGTCTATCCGGATAATTTATAGCTGTAAATTAGTTTCAATTCCAGTTTCTTGTTAGCTGTGATTAACGGTATCAATGGTCATGGAGATTTTGGTCGTTTTGGTGATTTCGGTTCAGTTTATTTCTTCTTCGGTCACCATATTCAAAATAAGTTGCGTATACAGAAAGATACAAATACATGAATGACTGAAGGGGTTTAGGCTGAATTTATGAACTTATTTTGCCTAACCCTTATGTCTGTGACTCTATCGTTTTGGTTTTTGTGAGTCCTACAGTTTGCTTCTGACGCTGGTTTCTTCTGTGGAAACTTGAGAGACTCGTGTGAAGCCAAGGCAGCCCAGTAAGGGAGGGGGGTAGTGGGAGGCATTTCAAAAGCACTCCTGGATCATGCAATTACTTTACCTACAACAAACATTCAAAAGAAGTATTTATTCAAGTGTGTAACTTCTGATTTTATTGAATTCATTGACTTTTTCAAAGGGCCTTACACTGTACCTGATCTTAATGCTTGGTCTCTGGAAACCTCACAACCAGGTTATTTGTGCGTCACTTATTTTAGCTCCTAGTCCGAGACCCATAGATGACTTTATTGCTCTTGTATCTTTGACTCTCTTCTGCTCTTAAACTATGCTACCTTTTTACCGCAGCTTCCTTGACTAATTTCACCAATTTTTTTAGCCTAGAGGAGCAGAATTTTGGATTCCATTGCAGCTTGTGCAAAAATGGAAAAACAAAATTGACAGTATTTCACCTCACCAAAAATTATGAAATTAGTATTCAACAAAGCAAGAGCCTTGAATAAAATCTAATCTTAAATTCCATTGTTAATCCCCAGTCCCTGTCTTTTTTCCAAATATAATTCCAGCGGTGTGAATTATATTTTTCATAATTGTATCCAATGGGTCACTGATATCAATCTCTGCTCCAAGCCCTTTGTGTAGATAAACTCCCTATTTTAATTGTTTTATTCATTTTTAGCGATCATGTGCACTCTCAAGTTTCTGAAGTATGTTTTTTAATGTTTTTGGATCCATTTGATCCGTCATCAGTTCTTAAAGGTTTTGTCCTGTCCAGTTTTAAACATGTTGTTGGTCCTGCCTTTTACAGAAACTTAATAAAGCACTACAGATTATTTTGTTGTTGTCCCATTTAAAAACTACCTTTTTATCCAAAGTTTTAGAGAAATTTGTTTACATTTAACAATAGTATTAAACCACTTTTTGGAGAAAAAAAAAACTTCCTGATCTTGTTTGATGAGCACATATCACTCAAATGATTGACGATTAGGAGGACCAATTAAGTGCATCCTTTGACAGAATGTTTGAAAATATTTTAGTGGAAAGCCTCAAAACGTGGCTCTGCATTAGAGATACTACACTTGATTGGTTTAATTCTTATCTTTTAGACTGAGCCTTTCCAGCCACCATTACCTGAGGTGTGCTGCAAGGTTCTGTTTTAGGTCCCATTTTATTTCCTGTTTTTTTGCTCCCCCTGTCATTGCTGAGCGGACGATACACAAATAGCTGAGACCAAACCCCCTGGAAGTCTGGCCTCTTGTGTAGTTTTCTTCTATGCTTCTGATGTGATGCAGATGTCCCAGTTGTGGACGTTGCAGCTGTAAGACGTTCACATATATTTAGAATAAAGTTTCAGTCTGTCATTTACTCTTTCTATTTGTGGCTGAGCAGCAGGGGCTCAGGAGCAGTCTTGCATGAGGCCCAGTGATCAGTAACATTAGCATATAGCTGCGTCTATTTGCTCAATAATGTCTTTAGGCTTTATCTAACACGCTGGGACAAATACAGGTGTGAATTATGGAGCTAATTTGATGCTGAATGTTCTTTTAATAAACGTTTTTCCTTGCCGGTGTCAAAGGTGAATGTGTCGATCATAACTCAGACGTCCAACTGTAAGGTGTGGGTTAGGTGAAGAAGGTTATAAAAGAGAAAAGTTTGGATAATGACAGCGTAACGAGCCGTGGAGCCGTGTTTGGGTGAGTGAAGCTCTTCCTGTCAGAGGTTGGGCTGTTGGAAGTATGTCGAAAAGGGTATGGGGATACGGAAACGTAGCTACTGGAAAATAAAATGGTATTGGGACAGTGGCTCAGTTGGTAGAGCATTGGCCTTTGAGCCTGAAGGTCCTGGGTTCGAGCCCACCATAAGACCTACTTCACGACTCCCACTCTCTGTTGTTGTGTCCTTGGGCAAGACACTTAACCCCACTTTGCCTGATCCCACTGATCAAGATCAAGGCTCCTGTGGACTTAGTGAGAGGCTGGAGCTGTGTGCACTGGGTGTAGCTCTGACTGCCATCCCCCCGACCCAGAACACGACACTATCTGCAAGAGGTTGTCTAGAATGCTAGTTCAGCCATCAAAAAAGGAAGAATCAGTCAGGATTATTGTTGATGCAATAGAAAAAAGTTAAATGACATACAAGATAAAAAGATTGTCAGCTGCACATGATCGGGGGTTTGAATAGTTTTTCACTGTGACATTGATTAAACGTGACTGGGTGTTTTAGCATGACAACGATCCAAAACATGCCCCAGGTAAAGCTTCTCCAGAACTCGACACAATAGAAAACCTGTGGAGGGAGTTGAAAGTGTTTCTGAGCAACAGACCCGACGCATCACAGAAACTTTCACCCATAGTCCCTGAGCATACAGGAGATTTAATTGGTCAAAATACCAGATGCAGTTTTTGCAAACCTGGTGACGACCGGTATAAAAGTTTGACCTCTGTAATGTAACCTTTGTTGGCAATAACAAGTAAAGTATTGAGTTTGAACTTTTGTTATTGGCTGAATCATTTCATGTTCATTGTTTTCTCTCCCTTGTGAGATGAATAAAGTTGATCTCATACAAATAAATGGTAAAAAAAATAGTCATTATCAATTTGTAGTTATAGAGCCCTTAACAACACTCAAGGCGACCAAAGTGCTTTACATCATAAATCATACACAAATCCATTAAAACATTCACGCATAAAAAAATAAAAAAAAAAAGTTTAAAAAGCACTAAAAAATCATAATTTTAGTTCTTGGATTTTTTCAGTTTCACATTCGGTCAATAACCCTAACCCATGTGGGTGCCTCCATGATGAAAAATGTAGATTTCCGCCCCTTTTTGGAGTTAGATAACTGCCACATATTTTCCATATTGTATTGAATTCTTATAGATTACTCACTCATTTCACAATCATTACAACAAAGCGTCTAATCCCTGACTGCAGGCGTTGTTTTCATGTCTATGGTTGTTACTCAAAGCGAAAGTGGAACTTCACAGGAATCATTCAAGACTTGAGCTGCAGCAGTTGAGTGTGAGTGAAAATCATATGTTCAAAATGAATATAGATGTCTGACCGTGAGAATACACACTATGAATATGATGGCAAGGCTATGTACAAATATTATTTATTTATTTATTTAGAAATGCAGTTACAGTCTGCAAGGTGCACTGGGATCTAAACTCATCAGACCGGTTTGAAAATCACAGAATAGAGTGCGGTTGTTGAACATATTCTGTATTCTTTGACTGCATTTACAAAACAAAAAATGTGGGGCTGGTCTGTGTTTTACTCTGGTGCATTCTGGGTATTTATGAAATGAATCAAAGTTCCGTAACTCAACAAGGGGTGTCGACCGGTGATTGTTGAAGCGATGGTCACATTTGACTCAAACATGCGTCGATCTTTCAACTATTCGCTTGAGTCAAAATTGTTGGAAGTCAATTTTGCTGATTAATTCACCTCTAAATAACATAAACCTCCCGTACTCTTGCTTTGCTAACTTTGGAGGGCTGCTCTGGGCCTGGAGTTTTGGCCATTCTCCTCTGGTCCTGGAGTCCTGGACCTTCTCCTCTGGTCCTGGAGTCCTGGACCTTCTCCTCTGGTCCTGGAGTCCTGGACCTTCTCCTCTGGTCCTGGAGTCCTGGACCTTCTCCTCTGGTCCTGGAGTCCTGGAACTTCTCCTCTGGTCCTGGAGTCCTGGACCTTCTCCTCTGGTCCTGGAGTCCTGGACCTTCTCCTCTGGTCCTGGAGTCCTGGACCTTCTCCTCTGGTCCTGGAGTCCTGGACCTTCTCCTCTGGTCCTGGAGTCCTGGACCTTCTCCTCTGGTCCTGGAGTCCTGGACCTTCTCCTCTGGTCCTGGAGTCCTGGACCTTCTCCTCTGGTCCTGGAGTCCTGGACCTTCTCCTCTGGTCCTGGAGTCCTGGACCTTCTCCTCTGGTCCTGGAGTCCTGGACCTTCTCCTCTGGTCCTGGAGTCCTGGACCTTCTCCTCTGGTCCTGGAGTCCTGGACCTTCTCCTCTGGTCCTGGAGTCCTGGACCTTCTCCTCTGGTCCTGGAGTCCTGGACCTTCTCCTCTGGTCCTGGAGTCCTGGACCTTCTCCTCTGGTCCTGGAGTCCTGGACCTTCTCCTCTGGTCCTGGAGTCCTGGACCTTCTCCTCTGGTCCTGGAGTCCTGGACCTTCTCCTCTGGTCCTGGAGTCCTGGACCTTCTCCTCTGGTCCTGGAGTCCTGGACCTTCTCCTCTGGTCCTGGAGTCCTGGACCTTCTCCTCTGGTCCTGGAGTCCTGGACCTTCTCCTCTGGTCCTGGAGTCCTGGACCTTCTCCTCTGGTCCTGGAGTCCTGGACCTTCTCCTCTGGTCCTGGAGTCCTGGACCTTCTCCTCTGGTCCTGGAGTCCTGGACCTTCTCCTCTGGTCCTGGAGTCCTGGACCTTCTCCTCTGGTCCTGGAGTCCTGGACCTTCTCCTCTGGTCCTGGAGTCCTGGACCTTCTCCTCTGGTCCTGGAGTCCTGGACCTTCTCCTCTGGTCCTGGAGTCCTGGACCTTCTCCTCTGGTCCTGGAGTCCTGGACCTTCTCCTCTGGTCCTGGAGTCCTGGACCTTCTCCTCTGGTCCTGGAGTCCTGGACCTTCTCCTCTGGTCCTGGAGTCCTGGTCCTTCTCCTCTGGTCCTGGAGTCCTGGTCCTTCTCCTCTGGTCCTGGAGTCCTGGTCCTTCTCCTCTGGTCCTGGAGTCCTGGTCCTTCTCCTCTGGTCCTGGAGTCCTGGTCCTTCTCCTCTGGTCCTGGAGTCCTGGTCCTTCTCCTCTGGTCCTGGAGTCCTGGTCCTTCTCCTCTGGTCCTGGAGTCCTGGACCTTCTCCTCTGGTCCTGGAGTCCTGGACCTTCTCCTCTGGTCCTGGAGTCCTGGACCTTCTCCTCTGGTCCTGGAGTCCTGGACCTTCTCCTCTGGTCCTGGAGTCCTGGACCTTCTCCTCTGGTCCTGGAGTCCTGGACCTTCGCCTCTGGTCCTGGAGTCCTGGACCTTCTCCTCTGGTCCTGGAGTCCTGGACCTTCTCCTCTGGTCCTGGAGTCCTGGTCCTTCTCCTCTGGTCCTGGAGTCCTGGTCCTTCTCCTCTGGTCCTGGAGTCCTGGTCCTTGTCCTCTGGTCCTGGAGTCCTGGTCCTTCTCCTCTGGTCCTGGAGTCCTGGACCTTCTCCTCTGGTCCTGGAGTCCTGGTCCTTCTCCTCTGGTCGGGCAGTGTGGTATTTCACCCGTGTGTCCAGAATGTGCCACGGTTCAGTGAGAGGAGGGTTTAAAACTAACGCCGCTGCAGCCGCACTAACACTCTGCCTCTCTGCTCTCTGCTCTCTGCTCCTTCAGACCCTCAGACCCGGGATCCCTGGACTCCCCTGGTCCGGCTTTTCTCTGCTGAGCGGTGAGTCTGCTAACACTTCTAACACGGCTAATGCTAACAGGGATGAAAATATTTGGTTAGGGCTATTTTTCTCACAGCACTGCCAGGTCATTCGAATGGAGTTCTCTGTGTAGGGTTGCCAACTGTCTCTTGAAATACGAAATGGTTTGCGTTCATGTTTCAGTATTCTGTTTCAGTTCAAAGGCGGGTACTTTGTTTGTTTACTGTTTTATTTGTTTGATTTTGGTCTTTTAATGTTGTTTTATGTCTGTATTTGTCTGTGCACACTGGAGACTTTTTGCTAATGTATTCAAATGTGGTTTTTTTTTACTGCAAATAAACTGAATCGTATCTGAATCTAATAAAAAAAGTAGCTAATTTTCTAAGATCTAATTTGCTAAGAAAATAATGTCCTGTTCCCAAAACATTATTCGATAGTGATTACATTCACAAAGTCGCTATTTTATTATTTTGTCTGAATTTAGAAAGGACTGGCCTAGTTTTGTAACATTGTCCCCAGTTCTAGACATCCTTTTATGTGAAAAGAATTGTATCGTTCAGCGGAACTTTGTTTTTGTTTGACATGGAAAAATTAGCAGTAGCGCTAATTAGCATTCTACAGTTTTACACTACAGGCTTCATTCCCACAGCATGCGTCGTCTGTGATTGGTTTAAGCGTCTGTTGTCCCAGCCCTTCGTATACTAGCATCTCTTTTGATCTGTAAATAAATGCGTATTGTTAAATCATCAAATCCATTCATTTTTTTTATAGCCCTAAATCACAACAGCAGTCATCTCGGAGCTGTTAAAGTCGTAGGTTCTTCAACAGATCAAACCGTTTGAACACAAGAAATAACAATATTGACAAACGCATAGAAGCCACTGGTTCATAGAGAGCAGGATGAAGACTGTCTGTAAATGTACTTAAACGTCCTGGATCATCACTGACCCTCCTGCATTGACAAGTAACACCCGATAATAAAGCATTGGGGGGAAAAAACATAGTCTTTTGAGAATGAATTGACATCAAAAGTGCCTGTAAGAGGTCGGACTGCATAATAATCAGTGATCTTCTGAGCAATGTGCCTTGAATGCCTGCAGGGGTTCAGTATGACCATTAACCCATTGACTGCCTGTCGTTTTTGAGGATTTCACTGATTCTCAAGACCCACAGAATATGATGTGCTATGACTATGTGAAATATGAAACCAGATTCTGAAAGACTGAACTGTCTACTTTCATCTGCAATAATAAGTTTGTTTCTAGCTAGTTTTGTTGTCCTGTAATCCCCAGTAGAATAGAGGGAAGTTTGACAGAAATCACCAGTCTCAGTCAAATACGTCAATGGCAGTCAATGAGTTAGTCTTTTTAGGTGAAAATTCTCTTTATTTTACCTTTTTACAACATGATTTTTTCTTTTTGTAGTGGAGAAAAGTGGAAAGTCTGATTGTGGTCTGAAAATGAGACGGCTGTGCAGATTTTTAGGGTTAGCATCTTTTTGTAAAAATCTAGCGCGCTGGTTCAAAGGACTGGGATGTGCTTCCTTATTTGAAACCTTCTTGTATTTGTTATTTGTTTTCTGACCTGTTGGTGTTGATTTCAGTTGCTCTTCTGATTCTGTTTGAGTGGGAGCAGCTCAGGCCTCATTAGAACATCTCTGAGACATGTGGTAACGGGGCGTTCAGCCTCTGACAGAGCAGTGTGAAGAAAACATGTGTCGGTCCAGAGGAGAAACCAACGTGTACATGCGGGGAGGAGGCTGGATTCAGATTCAGTTTATTTGCCATTTGCAGTAAAACCACATTGGAATACATGTGCAAAAGTCTCCTAGTGTACACAGACTGGTACATTAATAAAACTAGCTTAAAAGTACAAGAAACAATTGTCACTATGAAATCAACAAAAACTGCTTCATTAACAAGTGTAAGATCCTTAAAATGCTTGTGGAAAGAAGCTGTTTGCAAACCGCTAACATGTACGTACAGAGGGGAACTAACAGGTACAGTGCCGTGCAAAAGTATTAATACAGTTTGAACCTTTGCACATCTTGTTGGTCATACTTGAAACTTTTAACGTGTGTGGCGTTATTTAAGATTGACAAATAAAAGTATTAACTTGAACTTCTTTCCATCCAACCTATGTGCTTATTTTGCACTAAACAATTAACCAAACTTTCACATAGTGGAATAAATAATTATTCAGATTTTTATTTTTATATGGCACCTGTACAAAAAGCCAAAATGAGACATCCATTGTTCTATGTTGTAGCAGGAGTTCTAACACCTGTAGTCCCTGAGAAGATTGTTGTTAAATAGTTAAACATTAAAGATGTTAAATTACCATTCAGAAATTCCTAAACAATTACATCTGTCAGTCTACAGCGCTAAGCCAGCTTTATCCTTGGTCCAATTCTGCCCAGTGTCTGCTTGAAATATTAAAAACAATAGCAGTTGAGAGGTGTTTGAGTCATTATTAAAATAACTAGTCCAACAATTAACATTGTAATCGCCCGGATGTCATTGTTAATCATGTTTCTGTTTCTGGTTTCTGTGGTTTTTCTAACGCTACAAACAGTGGCCGCGGCTGAAGTAGGTTGCGCAAATTAATCCTGCAATAAAACAAATGACTGCCTTAAGAGCACTTCAAATAATAGTAATCAAATACATTAATATGTTCATTCTTTTTACATTTTTTGCCTGAATGATAACTTGCTGTACATTAAAATTTGTTTAATGTAGTATTAGCAGTTGCAGCAGTAGTAGTAGCAGCAGCAGTAGCAGTGGTAGTAGTAGTGTAATGGCAGCAGTCCTGTCTTGTCTCTGGCCTCGCTGGAGTCGGTGAGTGGGCGAGTTCATGTTTGTCAGTAATGACACAGGAGAAGCTCAAAGTTTAGACCAGATGTGACCACAGCCCGAGTGCAGAATGAAGACTCAGTATTTGTCAGGAGACTTTGGATATCTGTCAAAGTACAAGTATGAAAGTGGCCTGTTGATCTTGGACAGAAAATTAAGTGAAAATAGGGTTAGCATTGGCCTTTTGGCCTGAAGGTCGTGGGTTCGAGCCCACCACAAGTCCTACTTCACGACTCCCACTTGTGTTTGCTGTCGTTGTGTCCTTCAAGACACTTAACCCCACTTTGCCTGAAGACCCCGCTGAAAGATCAAGGCTCCTGTGGACTCACCACCTGCAGGAGGATCAGGGGCTGGTGCTGTGTGGACTGGGTGCAGCTCTGACTGCCACCCAGTAGTTTTCTTGTGTCATTCATTCTGTTACTAGAGAGATTTTTATTTAAGTAATTAATATTATTACACCAGCGTCTCCCTGGCTCCTCCCCTTTGGCTCCTCCCCCTTGACTCCTGACCAGTGCTACACCCTTTTTACTTTGTTCATCCATTTTCTGAGGTTTTTTCTTGAAGGGGGAGAAATTGTTGATTGTACTCCAACAGTGTGTGTAGGGTGCCTTTGGAAATGATCCAATATATCCTTATTGGTTACAATAATGTGAGAAGATTAGAAACCTGTTTTGCTCTTGTTTGATTAACCATATCATGCAGATTCAAGATTCAGTTTGTGTGATTATAATGACTTTGCCTTATTACTAAAGGCTGCAGATTTTCACGTTTGTAACCGCGTAAGATGGTGTTGTCCTTTGCATTCAATGAAAAGCATGTGCCTCGTCTCAAAGCTTTGGGATTTTGTACATGTCTGATTAGTTGCATCCCTTATTTCATCATCAAGCTTTTATTACAGACTCATGGTCCAGGATAAGACAAACACATCACATAAACACAAAAGAACAGATATAATCACTGCAAAAAGCCTCACTTCTCAGAACAAACAGCTGTATATTTGCAATAAGTATCGCTAAAAAGCTATTATAAATCCTAACACAAGCCACTTGCTGTGCATACAACTGAGGGATTATATATTTTTATCTTCCTTTTTAATGTACTGTGATTATTTTTATGATTTTAATGCTTTCTTGTTTTGTTCAGCACTTTGAGTTTCCTTGTGTATGAGCCCCAGTGATCCAAGATGGCGCCCTTTTCAAATGAATGGCTTGTGCTCAGTAGCGCATGGGACTTCCCGGGTGCTGACATGTCAGAGAAACTCGCCTGTATTTGGGCATTGTCTGGTCCTCCCGGTTCTGCGCAGTGGATGATCTCCCATGAAGTGTTGCGCCAAATACGTGTGTGTAGCTTTCATGCACATGCACAGAGGGGCTCGGCCACGCTTTGACCAATCAGAGCTGATCAGAATAGCAGCAGGGCGGAGTCAGAGCGGGAAGGAAAAGAGCAGAGTTAGTGGCAGTAAAGTGTGGATTTAAAGAAAACCGAAAGATTTAAGAAGAAAAAAAGTTCAGGATGACAAGGGATACAAAAATCCCCACAAAATCTGATCTTTATGAAAGCTGTAGGTTCTCTATCAGGTTCTCTGTCAGCTGAGGTCGAGCTGTTTTAGTTTACATTGAGTTCTATGGGACTTTTTTCTGGGTTGCCCACGTGAATTTAGTCTACAGTACAGACAGCTGTAAGCTAGTAATACCCTATCCAGTTATTATTATAGATCCATGGATTTTCCCAACAAACTGTCAACTGTCTTCCGAGATGACTGCTTTAGTGATTAAGGGCTGTAAAAAATGGAATTTGCAGACTCTGTGATGGAGAGTGACCCCAGCCCGCCCGCCCACCAACCCCCGACCTCAAACCGGGTGCATATGGAGTGCTTTAAACCCATGAGCTCACTCACTCAGAGCACACAGAGCACGGCGAGTCTGAAAAACCTGCAATGGTATGCCCCGTCTCCTGGTGATTAAACAAGCGTCCTCGTGCTGAACCACTTGAACCTATTGAACCTGTGCGGCTTTGGTCAAAACCAGAGCACAGTGATGAGTGAGGAGCGACAGGGAACAGATGCCGTCAGGACATGCATCGTGCACGTCTGCAACAGCCACTAAACAATGGCATTTATTGATCTCACACTTTAGAAATGTACATGTCACATTTGGCATAGATAGAATCACTTAGATTTGTGACAGAAGTGTGAAACATGTTAAAGGTAAAAAATATTGTCTGTTTAGGATATATTATGTACAATAAAAAAGTGGCAATTAAAGACAGAGTGGCAATAGCAGTGCAGGTTTTTCAGTCCTACTGCATTAGTGGCTTAGTGACTTATTGTACAGTCTGACAGCGGTGATGATGGAGCTCAGATTTCCACAGAGCTCTCTATAGTGACTTCATGTGCAACACAGAACCACATGTGTTCACTGTCACTTTACTTACCACTTAGTCCCAGCCCCTCATGCTGCTAACATACTGTATACAGATGTAGAGCTGCAACTAACGATTATTTTGTAATCAATTAATCTATCGATTATTTTTACGATTAATCGAGTAATCGCTTGGCTGTGAATTGTGTAGAAAAAATTTATTTTTTCATCACAAAAAGCTAAAGTGGCAACACTCGAGGACGTATTGATGGCGTAAACTTAAAGTAAATGTTTGTAACAGGCTCTTTGTGCTAATTCTGCTATCTGATTGGATGAGACAGACAGATATTCATGAAATTATAAAAACAAATTTTCGGTTTTTATTTTTTTTTTTTTTTATGGGGCGACAGTAGCTCAGTTGGTAGAGCATTGGCCTTAAGCCCAGAAGGTCGTGGGTTCAATTCCCACCTCTGCACCTTCTCCACCGACTCCCACTGATGACCGCTGTCGTTGTGTCCTTGGGCAAGACACTTAACCCCACTTTGCCCAAAGCCCCCACTGAAAGATCAAGGCTATGCTCACACTCAGAGAGCAGCCGTCCTCCTGTGGACTCACCACCTGCAGAGGGTCAGTGAGGGGCTGGTGCTATGAGACTTGGGTGGCATCTCTGACTGCCACCCCCCTGACCCAGAAATGGATTAAAGGGTAGAAAATGGATGGATGGAAGTCGGTTTTTATCAAAAAAACTACATTTTCATGTCATTTTTGCTCTGAGTCCGTGTGAACCAGAAAACGATTAATCGATTACTAAAATAGTTGTCGACTATTTCAATAATCGATTAGTCGTCGATTAATCGATTAGTTGTTTCAGCCCTATACAGATGTACACATCAGTTGCAGTAGAATATACAGTATTTTGTACTTGCTTCTGTATTATGTTGAATTTGGAGATTTGGTTTTAGTAAATCTAGTAAGAAAGTTATTGTTCACATGCTCCTCATTCCTACTGTTGTGTAACTGGTGATGCAACACTGACATTTCCTCACCGAGGGACAAATAAAGGATCTCTTCATCTCTCTCATGGAAGGGGGACTGGATTAATATAAGCTTTTTGCCTCGACCAATCCCTTTTCAAACTATGCACAGATTGTCTTGTTTTTATCATATTTTTCTGTAAATAATTGTATCTTGTGCATGTTTCAAATAAGTAAACAAATGAATGAATGAAAAGTGTGTCTCGGATTAGAGCCGTCATGTGAAACGACTATTCTCGTACGCATTAAAGACGAGTTTTGCCCTGGAGCGAAAGCAAATAAGAAAATAGGCTCGCTCGCCACCTCAGAGTTGGATCAGTCCAGGACGGTGTGAGCGAGGTGCGTTCGGCGGCGGATTACCCTCCAGACCACAGAGCAGTAATCAGATTAGTCAGACTCCGCCCCTTTTGACCCACTTCTGTCTGGACTACATCTCCCATCAGCCCCTGCTCGCCAGATTTGGACGTGAGGGTGCGGTTTTTGATGGTCTGCAGACGGGTCCGGCCCCCATAGGAAGGAATGTGTCTGGTTTTAAATGCACAACAATGGTAAATAAATCAGACAAAATGGTAGTTATGGAAAAATTCTAAAATGTCTTACACAGAAACTGGTATTGGCTGTATTATAATTTGGCTAAACAGTATTTGGCCTCGTTAAAAAGTTAGTGGTTGGCAATGTTTTTATTGCTGTATCTATACTGTATTTGTACTGTATCTTGGGTTCAGTGGATTTCATCTCTCATCATTGAAAACACATACATTTTTGATGAAGTGTAAAATAGGCGTGTAATTCACTATAAAAGTATATACACTTTTTTAATTTCATAGTCTCTTTTGCTCTTTTAAATCCCATTCACTTATTGAAGTTGTTTTGGTTATTCATGCTCGAATAAGTACTTACGTCTGCGTTCAGGAACCATTGCTTTGACGGTCCCCATTATCCAACAGTTTAAAATGTTCAAAAGGTATATTAATGATCCACAGGCGCCAGAGGTTATCACTATGTCTCTGTACTTTGTATTTGTACTAAAACATGCTTTTTCCTTGTGTTTGGCAGTGGGACTGTGAGCCGCCATCATTCGGTGCTGCGCAGGCGCCATGTCCTCCAATGGAGACCTCAGCCCGGCCTCCGACAGCTTCTGGGAGGTGAGACGAGGACTGGGGGCCGTGGACTAGGGACTGGGGACTGGGGATTGTGGACTAGGGACCGTGGACTAGGGACTGGGGGCCGTGGACTAGGGACTGGGGACTGGGGATTGTGTACTGGGGGCCGTGGACTAGGGACTGGGGGCCGTGGACTAGGGACTGGGGGCCGTGGACTAGGGACTGGGGACTGGGGATTGTGGACTAGGGACCGTGGACTAGGGACTGGGGGCCGTGGACTAGGGACTGGGGACTGGGGATTGTGTACTGGGGGCCGTGGACTAGGGACTGGGGGCCGTGGACTAGGGACTGGGGGCCGTGGACTAGGGACTGGGGACCGTGGACTAGGGAATGGGGGCCGTGGACTAGGGACTGGGGGCCGTGGACTAGGGACGGTGGACTGGGGATGAAGGACTGGGCACCGTAGACTGTGGGGCGTGGACCGAGGACTGGGCGTGGACCGAGGACTGGGCGTGGACCGAGGACTGGGCGTGGACCGAGGACTGGGCGTGGACCGAGGACTGGGCGTGGACCGAGGACTGGGCGTGGACCGAGGACTGGGCGTGGACCGAGGACTGGGCGTGGACCGAGGACTGGGCGTGGACCGAGGACTGGGCGTGGACCGAGGACTGGGCGTGGACCGAGGACTGGGCGTGGACCGAGGACTGGGCGTGGACCGAGGACTGGGCGTGGACCGAGGACTGGGCGTGGACCGAGGACTGGGCACAGAGGACTGGGCACAGAGGACTGGGCACAGAGGACTGGGCACAGAGGACTGGGCACAGAGGACTGGGCACAGAGGACTGGGCACAGAGGACTGGGCACAGAGGACTGGGCACAGAGGACTGGGCACAGAGGACTGGGCACAGAGGACTGGGCACAGAGGACTGGGCACAGAGGACTGGGCACCGAGGACTGGAAAATCTTTTGTGAAACTTCTGCCTATGAACTAGTTTTGTGAATCTCTCCAGAGAAATGGTGTTGCTTTCAACTGTGTGGCTTCAGATAGATTGTGACTTGTTGGTCATGTCATTGTAAAAGCAGAATGTAATTTCCGGGGCTGGAGTTGCATGTATTTGCGTGGTGGGGGAAACCGGAGTACCTGGAGGAAACCTGTTTCTCCCAGGCACCGGGGAAACATTTCAACAGAAAGGCCTGAGCCGACAGGAGTATTACACAGTAGTTAAACCAGTAGAATTGACCAGAGGTGTGCTCCAGTCGAGTAGAAACCATAACTGCATTTACACCGAAAGAAATTATAAAAACAAACTCTGATTGGATACGTTTGGATACGTCCTTTTGAAGTCCGGTGCGACCAGGTTAAACAGGACTAAACCAGGACTCAAGTGTTTTCACCACAGAGGGATCAGGTTCCAGAGCGAGAGGAGAAAACCGAAACCTTTTGTCCGAACAGGTGAACACGGTCACCAACGTGAAAAACACCCGACTGGATTTTTTTTCACGTTTACCCTGGGCGTTATGGAAGGAATATTCAGCATTATTTTATCCCTCAAACGTAAAGAGACTATTTACTTTGGAATTTTATCGTTTTGAACGTGAAATCATCAACGAAATCGTGATTTAAAACGGGAAATTGTTACTGTAAATTGAAAATGTTTGCATAAATATGTATACAATTATCTGGGCATGATGTCTACCTGCGCCAGACGTCACTTTACCTGAGAAATCATGACTAAATCTGACCGTTCTGTTTCCATGGAGATGTTGTCCCTAATCTTCCACAGGCCGTCTTCTAACAGATTTATAATTGAACAGAAAGCCTTCCATGATCTAAAACTGGTTTGACCTTTCTGCGTTTCCTTGTCTCTGCAGCCGGGGAACTATAAGAGCACGGTGAAACGCATCGACGACGGCCACCGACTATGCAGCGACCTGATGAGCTGCTTCCAGGAGCGCGCCAAGATCGAGAAGAGCTACGCCCTCCAGCTCAGCGACTGGGCCAAGAGGTGGAGGAGCCACGTGGAGAAAGGTCTGTGCGGGTTTGTCGAAGTTACCAAGTTTCCAGCGACTGGAGGACACGGCAGCACCGTTAATCACGTTCGCGATCGTGTTGGGCACAATAAGCATTATTTAGATCATCAACTAGTTAACCCTAACCCTTCCTTTTGCAAACAGCAATAATCTGTCTTCTCCAAATGTCAAAGTCAGGCTGCTAAGGGACTTATTGAGGTTTTTTTCATACTTTGAGTGTTGACTTATTTTATATGATTTTAAAAAACAAAACAAAAAAGTCCTGCCTTTAGTAACCATAGTTTTTAACAGTTTGGTTTGAGGTAAGAATTTCTTGTCATTTAGGGAACGCCTTTAGACAGAAACAAGTTGAGTTGGTGTAAAAACGAGCAGCCAACGAGAGAGATGACACACGCTTTCATGAGCCCCTCTCTCTGTCTTCTTTCAGGTCCTCAGTGCAGGACTCTGGAGGAGGCCTGGCACGCCTTCATGAACCTCAATTCAATGTATTCTTTAATAGCCCTAAAGGACAACAGTAGTTTAATCGGCGGACTTTACAAAGCTGTCGGTTCGCCAACACAGAATCAATCCGTTCTAGCTCAGTAAGCGCATTGAGGAAAACGCATAGAGCCTTTGGTCCATAAGAGGCAGAAACCAATGTCCAATAAAAGGTTAATAAATCAATCAATTTCATTTGTAGAGCCCTTTACAACACTCAAGGCGACCAAAGTGCTTAACAATAAAATCACATAAAATCCATTATAACGTTTATGAATTCAAACAACAAAACAGTTAAAAAGCATTGAGAAAGTGTCACTGTGCTAATGAGTGTTATAAGTGTTAAAAGTCTGTCTGAATTAATACGTTTTGAGCCTGTCCTTAAAATGTCCATAAATGTCGTTGAATGTCGAGTGTCCTGCATCGGTAAGTAAAGGCTGGAGAAGACCTAGCACACATTCATGAGCCTCTCTCTCTGTCTTCTTTCAGGTCCTCAGTACGGGACTCTGGAGAAGGCCTGGCACGCCTTCATGAGCGCGGCGGAGCGACTGAGCGAGCTGCACATGGAGCTGCGGGAGCGGCTGGTGAGCGAGGACGCCGAGAGGGTGCGGCTCTGGCAGAAGGACTCCTACCACAAGCAGCTGATGGGCGGGTTCAAGGAGACCCGGGATGCCCAGGACGGCTTCCACAAGGCCCAGAAACCCTGGGTCCGCAAGCTCCGCGAGGTCAGGCCAGAACCAGGACGAAGGAGGGACTAGACTAGCACTAAGGGGAAACAGGACTAGGACTGACTAGACTAGACCAGTACAAAGGAGAGACTGGTGCACAGGACTTGACTATGACTGAGGAGAGACCAGGACCAAGGAGAGGCTGGACCGGGACCAAGAAGCGACTGAAAAGGGACAGAGTAGAGACTAGACCAGGACCAAGAAGCGACTGGAGGACCAGGAGCGAGTAGAGACTACTGGACCGGGACTTATCGAGTTGTGCTGAATCCAAATGTGTGTGTTTTCAGGTGGAGGTGTGTAAGAAGTCGTACCATCAGACCCGAAAAGAGGAGTGGAGCGCGTCGAACAGAGAGACTCACGCTAAAGCTGACCCCAGCAAGTCCCAGGAGGAGGTCCGCAAGTTTTCAGCCCGAGTGGAGCGCTGCACCGAGGAGGCCGAAAAGGTAAAGGACACATCGGACATTACACTAACTAACAGAGCAGTATATTTGACGGCTTTTTGTTGTGGGAAGTGTAATTACTGTTTATACGTGTTTGTGGTCTTTATAACCCTGTGACTTTTTCTGTTTGTAATTGTGTTTCTGAAATAATCTCGACCCTAGACTGGTAACGAGACTGGTAACGAGACTGGTTCAGACCAATTGCAGCTTGGAGCAAGTGCTAGTTACCATAGAAACACACTGGTTACTTCCAGCTGTACTGCAGTATTTCGTATTTCTGTATTTCGTATATAAATTCAGCAGTTTTAGCATGTATTCACCCTATAATCCCGCGTGTATCGGCGACAATGCATGCGCACATGTTTTACAAATGATGATTGATTTGTCTGTGCGACGCACGGGGGATAAACTACGTTTTTATCTAAAAGTCTGTGTCCAATCGGATCTTCGAGCGGTGACCCGTGAGGTACAAACAGCTGTGAGATACAAACACACGGGGACTGCCAAAGATCGTCACAGAGTGAGATGTCTCACTCCTCTGCGTGTACTTGTTCTCCCACAGTTGAAACTACAGCTGCGATTGCAATAACCGGCTGAAGAGTGCGCATTATTGATAAAGACGATAATAAATACAGTAAAATGACATGTGTTTATGATGTATATAAATCAATCAATCAATCAATCAAATTTTATTTATAAAGCGCTTTTCATACAAAAAGTGTAACACAAAGTGCTTTACAGTTTAGTTAAAAACAATCCAACATGCCCAGCCCTAAACCCTCCTCCCCACAGACCCCCCCAAAACCACATTTATAATTATATATACAACCACATGCGTATACACACACACACATATACACCCACACACACACACATACACACACACACAAGTATAAAGTCATATCAGGTAAAATAGGTAAAACAATAAAAAGAAATGGGGCTGGGAGCAGATGTAACCGGCTGAAGAAGCGCCATCCAAGGAGCCATCTGCACCAGGAGCAGAGAGCCGGCTGCAGCCACAGGGAACGACACAGGACCCAGAGGGGAGAGGGGCCCCAGACCCCACCAGGCCCAGGACTCAGACCCCATAGGACCCAGGGGAGAGAGGAGGCCCCAGACCCCCACCGGATCCAAGAGCCAGACCCCCGAAGCCGCATATATATGTATTGGATGTTTTTTTTTTTTTTTTCTTAGTTTGTTTTACGTTTTTTACAGCTGTGATACAGAAGCAACCCCAGCATCATAGACAAACTGCTTCAGGAAGGGCATCAGGAGTACAGTGATTTTTGTGTTTATAGTGGAATTTTGTAAAAAGTATAATAGTCACAGATTCAATTTTTTTCCCATTTTCCCCAAGTCCCTAAATAACATTTCTATACAGTGTAAAAAGTTGTTTATAGCATTTCATTGTGTTTTCAATACATTTTTGTTAAATTGATTTTCCGTTTGATTATTTTTTTTTCTTTGACTTCATGATTCCATAATTTTTATATAATTCATATGACAGCTTTACAATATGAATATTCTAAAACCCCAGGTTGTACTGAAAAAAACAAAGTATACTGCTTGACTGTTTTATGAGCAATTATACACAAAGAAAACCAGGCGAGGAAGGTTCCCCAAAATGACCCATGTGTTTAGAGGGTTAAAGACAAAAATTTTATGAATCACTTACCACTATTTCTTTCATACAGAAATCTTTTCAGAATTCCATTGGTTTGAATGGGAGCCTTTGTAAATGATTTGTCACGTTTAAAGCATTTTGACAAAAGGGGCACGTGTGTTGTAGCAGAAATGTCTGATATTGGTGATTGAGCGAAAAACAACTGCAGGTCTGTGACTGATCAACAATGTTAAAATGTGGAGAAAACAGAAAAAAACTCTTGAAAATTGTTCTTGATTGAGTCATAATACGTCCTGAAAGTGAGCTCGGGCCTAGTTCCTCCAGTGTGACTGTGGGAATCCCTTTTGAGGCGTTATTCTCATAAAAACAAGGACAAGACCAGACCTGCCCCGTCCTGCTGCAGCTGCCGAGTCGAACTCAACCAGGACTGGGCCAGAAGTCAACAAGACTCAAGGAAAGCTGAGAGAAGCCGTTTTAAACTGGACGTGATTAAATGAAAATGGATAGAAGAGTTAAAGATTTTTGGTTTGTCTTCTGTACCCAACATTTGTAAGATAGCAATGTTATTATTACCTTGACATGTTTCTCCTGAAGGAAGACGGAAGTTTACAGTAAAAAAATGTCAAGGTAGTAACATCGCTAGTAGTCTGGAGTCTGTCTGGTGTAGAAGAGCCAAAAAAAACAAAGATGAAGCTTCCTAGTCTGATAAAAGAGCTGTCCTGACGTAGGCCCTGTTTACACGGAGACGCAGCCAAGCGAGTCGCAAAAACGGCAAAGCGTCTACATGGCAAGTGAAAATGGTGTAGTTCTAACACCTGGCCAGTAGGGGGCTGTGGAACTTTACAACGCAACATCAACCACTTCCTCAGCAACACCGGGTGAATGAGTGAGTGTCTGAGAGTGACTGTGGGCCAAATAAAACAATAAAAAATGAATAAAATAAACCCGGACAAGAATGCACCATCGTCATTCCTTGTTTTAACAAAAGCAGCGAAAATGGAAACTGCAACTACAGCTGCGGGTGGTTTCGTTTGGACGAAGGAAAATAATTTCTGCTGAAGTTATTCTGCCGCCATTGTTGTTTGTTTGTTCTCGGCTGCTAAGTATGTCCGCATGTATGTGGGGGGGAGGGGGGAGGTCATCGCAGCCAGAGAGTTCACATATTTCTGGTCTTTCTTTGGTGTCTCTGGTCTCACTCTAGACTCTCTGGACTCTCTCTCTGGTCTCCTTCTGCTCTCTCTCTCTGCTCTTTCTCTCTGTTCTCTCTGTTCTCTCTCTGGTCTCACTCTCCTCTCTCTCTCTGCTCTGCTCTTTCTCTCTGCTCTCTGCTCACTCTCTGCTTTCTTCTCTCTCTCGGCTCCCTCTGCAGCGGCTTTTCACCTCCATCTTACTGTCACAGTGTCTCCGTGTAAATGACTGAATAAAAACAGACAGAAGAGCAGTTTTACCCAGACTCGACTCTACACAACACAAAACCCGATTGTGTTGTTGTTGGTGCAGGCGAAGGAGCGGTACTCGAAGGCCCTGGAGGAGCTGAACCGCTGTAACCCGCGCTACATGGAGGACATGGAGACCGTGTTCGAGCTGACGCAGGAGAGCGAGAGGAGCCGCCTCGGCTTCTTCAAAGAGGTGCTTCTGGAGATCCACCAACACCTGGACCTCAGCACCAAGGAGGGGTGAGGAGTGTGTCTGTGTGTGTGCAGTTAAAGGCTGGGTCGCACAACATTAAAACAATGTAACAACATACGAAACGACAACATCTATCTAACCTACTCTTGTCTGGTATAGAAGAACCAAATAACTTCAACACACAACCAGTTCCTTGCTCTCTTCACAGTTCTACCGCTTCATCGTGGGCCTCGCCGTTTCACGAATGAATGTTTGTGTGTGTAAAATGTGCGTGCTATTTACTGCATGCTTCTCATGCGCTGCGTGTGCACTCCAACAGCATCATGTAGCCACTAGTAAAACATGACAGTTGCCTTAATTTTAAGTCAGACGAAAACGTTTGTGGCTTGTGTGCGCCGCAGTGATTACTTTAGAGGACTACTGTAGGGTCTCTGTTGAGTCTCTCTCTCTGGTACCTCTCTCTGGTACCTCTCTCTGGTCCCTCTCTCTGGTCCCTCTCTCTGGTCCCTCTCTCTGGTACCTCTCTCTGGTCCCTCTCTCTGGTCCCTCTCCAGAGATATCAGGCTATAAAGTGTGTGAGGAGTTTTACAGCCTAAAATCGCAGCGTTTCCAGTGTTTCGTCTTTTGTAGGTTATTGTTCAGAATGTAACCTTGTGATAAAAAGGACTACTATATTTTTTTATTTTGGCGTTTATCACATCTTTAGATCAGCATTTTCAGACAAATATGAAGGCAAGCTAAGTATACTTGTATTGCACAAATCATACTCAATGCCACTCAAAGTACTGAACAAAACATTACAATCATAAATGTACAGCTAAAAATAACAGTTTTTAACCTAGATAAGAACCATTATGTCCTTCTGTATCGCCCTGAGCTGCTTGTATTTGACGTCACTGTAAATGTGGTCACGTCAGAGGCCCTGCAGGTCTGGCCAGACTTTAAAGGAATAGTTCACCGTTTTTACATACTGACATATGTTCTTACCTTAGACTAGTTAATATGTACCTGTCTGGTCTTAGTCCGTACGCTCTGTCATGCAAACGGAGCAAAAACGCAGCCTCCTCTGTATACTGTATAGTACCCAAAAGGTAGCTCCCGCTAGAAGCTACCAAACTCTTCCAAGTGTTCCCTATTAAATGTATATAGTTACGTGACGTGTTACACTGCAAAGTATAGTAACACAGAAATGTAACTGTCGATTTTCTCAGCGGATAAAACAGGTACTATATTGTGAGGCGTAGTAATCTGAGGAGCGCTACGTCCGCGCACTAACTTCTCTCCTGAGACTTCTCTCTCGCTCACATAAGTCTCTGCTACTACTGTGTGTACTACAAGTCACGCTGCTTCTATTGACGGAAGTGAGCGAGAGAGAAGTCTCCGGAGAGAAGTTAGTGCGCGGACGTAGCGCTCCTCAGATTACTACGCCTCACAATATAGTACCCGTTTTATCCGCTGAGAAAATCGACAGTTACATTTCTGTGTTACTATACTTTGCAGTGTAACACGTCACGTAACTATATACATTTAATAGGGAACACTTGGAAGAGTTTGGTAGCTTCTAGCGGGAGCTACCTTTTGGGTCCTATACAGTATACAGAGGAGGCTGCGTTTGTGCTCCCGTTTTTGCTCCGTTTGCATGACATAGCGCACGGACTAAGACCAGACAGGTACATATTAACTAGTCTAAGGTAAGGTAAGAACATATGTCAGCATGTAAAAACGGTGAACTATTCCTTTAACCCTTCTGCATCGAGAGCGACTTACTTTTTTTAAAGTTTCATTGCGTTTTATCAATACATTTTTGTGATATTGATTTTCAGTTTCATTTTTTTCTTTGTCTTGATGATTCCATAGTTTTTATATAATTGAAATGACAGCTCTACAATATGAATATTCTAAAACCCCAAATTGTACTGAGAAAAACAAAGTATACTGCTTGACTCTGCATCAAAAAATTACTCTCTTATGAGCAATTATACACAAAGAAAACCAGGCGAGGAAAGTTCCCTAAAATGACCCTAGACCTTGGAGGGTTAAATCAAATTAGCAATCAACAGATATTTTGTCTCACATGCAACAAGACCTAATCCTTTTGCATATCACAGACAGTAAATGGATAGAAAATCGGAAGCAGCTAGAACTGGGACAGAAGCGGATCCAGTCACGTCCCGTTCACTTCAAAGGAGCCGTGAGTGAGGTTTACATTTGTATCGGTATTTTTTTCTTTTCCGTGTCCCCAAACCCGAGGTGAAGGTCGGGGCCAACACGAGCTTGGAGCAGTTTTTTGTTTTCATTCCTTGTTCCAGGAGGAAAGCGGTGTCACAGTCCAGGGTTTGGACTCGGCTCTGTGTGTTTTAGAGTTAATGCTAAACTCTGCTTCATATTTAACCAGCCTCGCAGTCCGCAAACACCACAAGAATGTGGACGGTATCTGTGCTAATAACACTCTGGTCACGGTTTAGTTCTGCTTTAGTCTCTGCTTTAGTCTCTGCTTTAGACTCTGCTCTAGTTTATTCTTTTCCCAGATAGCAAAAGGACATCGTTTCAACATTTAAATAGTGTTATGGCCTGTGATTGAATAGATGTTGAAAAATGACGTTGAACTGCGATTGAAAGCGCTCGATATGATAGATGTCGAACACAACGTTGATTTTTGATCTTTTCTGACATGGAATCAATGTCATGCAAATAACATTGATTAGGAGTTGAATAGATGTCGAAATTCAAATGTTTTTTAAACATGGATTCAACATTGATTAAACGATTGAAATATGCCTATATTCAACCTTTTTTAAACTATATTTTGATTATTGGATTTACTTACCGCGTCACCACCTAAATCAACCACTAAACATTCACCGCGGTCATCATGTTGAGTCATTTACACAGGCATAACCAGTCCAATATGGATCTGAGGCATAATCCATCTCCTCCTGTTGTTTGTTTACATTACGCATCCATATAGCACTCAGAATGACAAGTTTACCAAGGTATTTACATTACAAAATTTTACTGCGCATGCCCCATTTAAATCGTTATTTGGTGCCTATAGCGTGACAGTGCCTCCTGCAGTCCCAAGACAGGTATTACAGCATAAGTTACATCTTTTTTGTTTTTTTGCATTACGAAACACGTACAGCCCAGCACTTCAGCACTTTTGCTTCCATGAATAAATATAGTAAAAAAAAACAATAACCTGCCTCCATGAAGAATGTACAGTAAATTAAAAACAAACAAACAAAAAGCATTTGGAGCAGAAGCACATGAGACATGGAGAAGAGACAGGAGATTGAGTTTTGACCAAATACCACAAAAATAAATAGAAAACCCATTGCTTATGGTGATATATTGGGGTAGGTTTTAAGTGTAAAACTATAAAAGTAAAATAAATAAATACATATCTCCCCAGGATCCAGTCAAGAATGTATGAATTATAGGCAAGTCAATGTTAATTTATACCGCATTTCAAACACAAGGTTACTCAATGCGAATATATATTCCCTCAATTTGTTGCCAACACAATGTAACCACTGTATAATACTTTGTTTCATAAAAGTACTTTTACAGGGCCATCATAATTAAGGCTATCCAGGTAATTGTAGTGTAGCAATAAAACGTTTGTAGAAGTGGTGCAGATTTGGTTAGTGTCACGAGGAACACTGGTACACAGCATCATTTTCAATATTTAACGGAATTATACACAACGAGCAATTTGTGCCAAAAAATGTGTTCAATTTCATTCAAAACTGGAGTTCAGTGTGTTTTGGAGCTTATTTTTTTGTATTTTCAATGAATATTCGCAGTAACACAGTTATATAACATCACTATTTTCAAAGATATGTACAATTAATGCCTGTTGGAATACATTTTAATGCGTTTTAATTACATTTAAGGCCTTTATTTCACAATTCATTCAATAATAAATAAATGACCCTAACAAATTGATATATTGCCAGACAGTAGTGCATTTCTTTAAAAAAAAGAAAGAAAGAACAGAACAGATCATTTTAGAACACACAATATGAAGACATCCTAATTGCATTTGAGATGGTGCTGTAAAAATTGCATTACTTGATTGCTTTGTTGTTCGTGATATCAACTTGGGACTTCTGTAAAAGAGAAATGGAAATCATTATTAAAGCTTTTAGATTTGGTTTTAATGCTTTTTGATTTTTCTGTCTGACAGTGAATGACTAGTACAAATGAAGTGTATGTGAAATGCTGTATTTACTCACAAATAAATATTTAATTGGCATTACCCCTTGTGTCTTACCATGACATTTTTTTTATTTTACATTATAGGCTATTCAACTTTAACCTTATAAATCGCAGTGTGCTAATCATAGATCGTGGCTTTACCGAAGTGCTTTACCCCCTCTATTGTGTGGGGAAAGTTATTGTTAAACTAAGCAGCGAATTATTAACTACCTAATAAAACCCATTTGCATAACACAACCTTAATACCATCCTTGTTCCCTTATCAACCGGGTGCTGAGGAATTGTAAGCAGCTAAAAACAGCCCCTTAAACTGAGCTTTTTTGGTGGCAAAGTTTAACGTTAGCTTGGCATAATGTTGGTTACACATCAGCTTCTGACAAACTACTAAGAAAATAGCATAACATAGCCTAAAGCAACACCTTACATTCTATTTATTAGCTCACTGATCACACCCAAGACGATGATTTAAGTTTAGAAGCGATGAGCACTTACCAGTTCTGACTTTCTCCGTCTCCGTCTCCGAGATGCAGGGGCGCTGTACATTTAACTAAAATCTCCCGGGCTTGTAGTCCTTATATCGAAACATTGATTTATTGGGAATTTTTCAACCAAAAAAAATATACAACCGATTTTTAACAGTGATTCAATGTTACACTTTCAATGGTTAAAATTCCATCTGTAAAATAAGGTTGATTCAATGTTACACTTTCAATGGTTAAATTTCCATCTGTAAAATAAGGTTGATTCAATGTTACACTTTCAATGGTTAAATTTCCATCTGTAAAATAAGGTTGATTCAATGTTACACTTTTAATGGTTAAATTTCCATCTGTAAAATAAGGTTGATTCAATGTTACACTTTCAATGGTTAAATTTCCATCTGTAAAATAAGGTTGATTCAATGTTACACTTTCAATGGTTGAACTTATGTCCATAAAATAGTGTTGATTCAACATTCTTTTTTTAATTATTGATTTATTATCTGTAATAAAACATTGAATCAACATTTTTCTTTCAACCTCAACCAAAAGTCAACCATCTGACCCTAAATCAATGTTGAAACGATGTCCTTTTGCTATCTGGGTTGTCCCTGCTTCAGTCCCTCTTAACTCATTGTGTCCCATTGACGCACAAATACGTCAAAGCAAGTAGTAACGTCGTGTGCCATTGACGCATTAATACGTCAAATGCCTTTTTCGCTATTTTCACGTTTCCAGATGTCTATTGTATCTAATATGTATGGGGATGACTTGAGACCATATTTTATCGAGCCAGCAGGTGGCAGCATTGCTCTCTGAATGGTTTGAAAACATGTAGGTGCACATGTTGTGCCTCTTTTTTCTCAACTTTCTGGTGATTTCTGGTGATTTCAGTAAAACTTCCCTCTACTCGACGGAGGATTACAGGGGAACGAAAAAAGCTATAAACAAAATTCTTTTTGCTGAGGAAAGTAGACAGTCCATTCTTTTAGAATCTGGTGTCGGATTTCAGATAGTCATAGTACACAATATTCTGTGGGTCTTGAAAAATCAGTAAAAATCATCAGAAATGGCTGGCACTGTGGGAGTACCTGTTCTGAAATAGGCTGGCATTCAATGAGTTAAGTCCCTGCTGTAGTCCCACTTTAGTCTCTGCTTTAGTCCCACTTTAGTCCCTGTTTTATTCCCACTTTAGTCCCTGCATCAGTCCCTCTTAAGTCCCTGCTGTAGTCCCACTTTGGGCCCACTTTAGTCTCTGCTTTAGGCCCTGCTTCAGTCCCACGTTAGTTCCTGCTGTAGTCCTGTTTTAGTCCCACTTTAGTCCCTGCTTTATTCCCACTTTAGTTCCTGCTGTAGTCCTGTTTTAGTCCCACTTTAGTCCTTGCTGTAGTCCCACCCCAGTCCCTGCCTCAATCCCTGCTTTAGTCCCTGCTTTAGTCCCTGCTTTAGTCACACTTTAGTCCCTGCTTTAGTCCCACTTTAGTTCCTGCCTCAGTCCCTGCTTTAGTCCCACTTTAGTCCCACTTTAGTCCCTGCTTTAGTCCCACTTTAGTCCCTGCCTCAGTCCCTGCTTTAGTCCCACTTTAGTCCCTGCTGTAGTCCCACTTTAGTCCCTGCTGTAGTCCCACTTTAGTCCCTGCTTCAGTCCCACTTTAGTTCCTGCTGTAGTCCTGTTTTAGTCCCACTTTAGTCCCTGCTGTAGTCCCACTTTAGTCCCTGCTTCAGTCCCTGCTTTAGTCCCACTTTAGTCCCTGCTTTAGTCCCTGCTTTAGTCCCACTTTAGTCCCTGCTTTAGTCCCTGCTTCAGTCCCACTTTAGTCCCTGCTTTAGTCCCACTTTAGTCCCTGCCTCAGTCCCTGCTTTAGTCCCACTTTAGTCCCACTTTAGTCCCTGCTTTAGTCCCACTTTAGTCCCTGCCTCAGTCCCTGCTTTAGTCCCACTTTAGTCCCTGCTGTAGTCCCACTTTAGTCCCTGCTGTAGTCCCACTTTAGTCCCTGCTTCAGTCCCACTTTAGTTCCTGCTGTAGTCCTGTTTTAGTCCCACTTTAGTCCCTGCTGTAGTCCCACTTTAGTCCCTGCTTCAGTCCCTGCTTTAGTCCCACTTTAGTCCCTGCTTTAGTCCCTGCTTTAGTCCCACTTTAGTCCCTGCTTTAGTCCCACTTTAGTCCCTGCATCAGTCCCTCTTAAGTCCCTGCTGTAGTCCCACTTTGGGCCCACTTTAGTCTCTGCTTTAGGCCCTGCTTCAGTCCCACTTTAGTTCCTGCTGTAGTCCTGTTTTAGTCCCACTTTAGTCCCTGCTTTATTCCCACTTTAGTTCCTGCTGTAGTCCTGTTTTAGTCCCACTTTAGTCCTTGCTGTAGTCCCACCCCAGTCCCTGCCTCAATCCCTGCTTTAGTCCCTGCTTTAGTCCCTGCTTTAGTCACACTTTAGTCCCTGCTTTAGTCCCACTTTAGTTCCTGCCTCAGTCCCTGCTTTAGTCCCACTTTAGTCCCACTTTAGTCCCTGCTTTAGTCCCACTTTAGTCCCTGCCTCAGTCCCTGCTTTAGTCCCACTTTAGTCCCTGCTGTAGTCCCACTTTAGTCCCTGCTGTAGTCCCACTTTAGTCCCTGCTTCAGTCCCACTTTAGTTCCTGCTGTAGTCCTGTTTTAGTCCCACTTTAGTCCCTGCTGTAGTCCCACTTTAGTCCCTGCTTCAGTCCCTGCTTTAGTCCCACTTTAGTCCCTGCTTTAGTCCCTGCTTTAGTCCCACTTTAGTCCCTGCTTTAGTCCCTGCTTTAGTCCCACTTTAGTCCCTGCTTTAGTCCCACTTTAGTCCCTGCCTCAGTCCCACTTTAGTCCCTGCTTTAGTCCCACTTTAGTCCCTGCTTTAGTCCCACTTTAGTCCCTGCTTTAGTCCCACTTTAGTCCCTGCCTCAGTCCCTGCTTTAGTCCACCTTTAGTCCCTGCTTTAGTCCAGCATTAGTCCCTGCTTTAGTTCCACTTTAGTCCCACTTTAGTACCTGTTTTAGTCCCTGCTTTAGTCCCACTTTAGTCTCTGCTTTAGTCCCACTTTAGTCCCTGCTTTAGTCCACCTTTAGTCCCACTTTAGTCCCTGCTTTAGTCCCACTTTAGTCCCTGCTTTAGTCCCTGCTTTAGTCCCTGCTTTAGTCCCTGCTTTAGTCCCACTTTAGTCCCACTTTAGTCCCTGCTTTAGTCCCACTTTAGTCCCTGCTTTAGTCCCACTTTAGTACCTGCTTTAGTCCCACTTTAGTACCTGCTTTAGTCCCTGATTTTGTCCCTGCTTTAGTCCCTGCTTTAGTCCCTGCTTTATCCCTGCTTTAGTCCCTGCTTTAGTCCCACTTTAGTCCCTGCTCTAGTCCTGCTTCAGTCCCACTTTAGTCCCTGCTTTAGTCCCTGTTTTGTTCATGGAGTAGACTCTAACTTTGTAGCACTTTCAGAAGTAGCAACTAAAGTATTTTTACTTCAGGTGAATTCCTCAGCCGAGTTGTTCCAGTATCTGCTTTTTGGGAACGACATGTTACTGCTTTGCTTCAAAGGTCATTGAGTTTGGTTTAAAATATTTACATTCCTCACTGACGGATGATTATGGAGATAGTTTAGATACAACTTGTGATGTCACAAGTTTGTTTCTAATATGAAAGACAAGTCCAATGACAAATTGTATAAATATCGCGGCAGGAAAAAAATATGGATTGCTCGGTTTTAGAGGCTGCGGGAACAGATGCAATTGACAATATGAGAGAAGTGTGTTGCCGAAGGACACAACAGCACCTCCTTGTGGTCTTGCACATCAGTGTCAGGCCTGATGCTTCTCTGTGGTCTGGTCTCTCCTCTCTCTCCTCTAGTCTGTCCTTTCTCTCCTCTCTGATCAGTCCTCTTTCTGCTCTCTGGTCTCTCCTCTCTGGTCTCTCCTCTCTGGTCTCTCCTCTCTGGTCTCTCCTCTCTGGTCTCTCCTCTCTGGTCTCTCCTCTCTGGTCTCTCCTCTCTGGTCTCTTCGCTCTGGTCTGTCCTCTCTGGTCTGTCCTCTCTCCTCTCTGGTCTGTCCTCTCTCTCCTCTGGTCTGTCCTCTCTCCTCTCTGGTCTGTCCTCTCTGGTCTGTCCTCTCTCCTCTCTGGTCTGTCCTCTCTCTCCTCTGGTCTGTCCTCTCTCCTCTCTGGTCTGTCCTCTCTAGTGTGTCCTCTCTCTCCTCTGGTCTGTCCTCTCTGGTCTGTCCTCTCTCTCCTCTGGTCTGTCCTCTCTGGTCTCTCCTCTCTGGTCTCTCCTCTCTGGTCTCTCCTCTCTGGTCTCTCCTCTCTGGTCTCTTCGCTCTGGTCTGTCCTCTCTGGTCTGTCCTCTCTCCTCTCTGGTCTGTCCTCTCTCTCCTCTGGTCTGTCCTCTCTCCTCTCTGGTCTGTCCTCTCTCCTCTCTGGTCTGTCCTCTCTCCTCTGGTCTGTCCTCTCTCCTCTCTGGTCTGTCCTCTCTGGTCTGTCCTCTCTCCTCTCTGGTCTGTCCTCTCTCCTCTGGTCTGTCCTCTCTCCTCTCTGGTCTGTCCTCTCTGGTCTGTCCTCTCTCCTCTCTGGTCTGTCCTCTCTCTCCTCTGGTCTGTCCTCTCTCCTCTCTGGTCTGTCCTCTCTGGTCTGTCCTCTCTCCTCTCTGGTCTGTCCTCTCTCCTCTCTGGTCTGTCCTCTCTCCTCTCTGGTCTGTCCTCTCTCCTCTCTGGTCTGTCCTCTCTCTCCTCTGGTCTGTCCTCTCTCCTCTCTGGTCTGTCCTCTCTAGTGTGTCCTCTCTCTCCTCTGGTCTGTCCTCTCTGGTCTGTCCTCTCTCTCCTCTGGTCTGTCCTCTCTGGTCTCTCCGCTCTGGTCTGTCCTCTCTGGTCTGTCCTCCCTGGTCTGTCCTCTCTCTCTCCTCTGGTCTGTCCTCTCTGGTCTCTCCGCTCTGGTCTGTCCTCTCTGGTCTGTCCTCCCTGGTCTGTCCTCTCTCTCTCCTCTGGTCTGTCCTCTCTGGTCTCTCCGCTCTGGTCTGTCCTCTCTGGTCTGTCCTCCCTGGTCTGTCCTCTCTCTCTCCTCTGGTCAGTCTCCTCACTTGTGTCTCTGCTTTGTGTCTCCCAGATTTGCTGCGCTCTACACAGACCTGGGTCAGTGCATCCGCTCGGTCAGTGACTCTGAGGACCTGCGCTGGTGGAGGAACACACATGGTCCCGGGATGACCATGAGCTGGCCCCAGTTTGAGGTTCGACACCCCACAATCCCACAACCTCACGCCCCACACACCGCAAACACAAAGAGGGGAATAAAACCCAGAGTTTATCCAACCTGCTCTGGGACAGTATAAATGTGAAGAAAATCTGTCCTCTCTCTGTATTTAAATAATTATAGTAAAACCATAGATCAAGTATAGCAGGCATGTCCAACCTATGGCCCTCTGCCTTGCTAACCAATATGATCTCAAAGCCAACTTTGGGTTAGTAAGGCAGAGGGCCACTTAAAATGACACTGAGGGCCGCAATTGGCCCCCGGGCCTGAATTTGGAATGCGTTTCCTGCCTCAATGGGTTGAAGCAGGTCTAAAGTGGCACTGACTTGTGATGCAACACTGAAATGTACCCACTGTGGGATGAATAAAGGATCTCTTAATCCTGTTGCTGGTTCTGGAACAGCAAAAGAGGTCCACCTTCTCACGGTGCTCCAAAGGGGCTTCTTGGGGAGTTTGTGGTTCTGCTCAAGTCCCCGAGCAGAACCTCATTGGTCCTGAGCTTTGGGGAAGAACCCAGAGAACAAGATGGAGGACAAAAGCTACAGCATATATACATTTTGAGATAATGAAGTTTCATTTACTGGTTCTGATTGGACCTTGTTTGGCCCTGGGTTCAGCCTTGACTTCTGAGGGAAAATGTAAATATTAGTGTGAAGTGTCTCCAGCTGTAGATTCCACTCCCACTCAGCCCACAACTGCTGCTTCAGAAAGACCAGGACTAAAGCATGACTAATGTAGGTCTAAAGCAGGTCTGAAGCAGGTCTGAAGCAGGTCTAAAGTCAGTCCCTCCAGGATTTTGCAGACAATTACTGTGATTGTGTAGGATAAAATGCGTGATTTCATGAGACATTTTTCTAAAACTTGCAATGGCAAGTTGCTATTCCCCCGCCCCCCCCCCCCCCCCCCCCCCCCCCCCCCCCCTTTTTAAAACTTACTTTCCAATTTGCAATAAAGTACCATTTCTTGATCAAATATAAATTCAAAAATATAGTAAAGTAAAAAGACGAGCTTTATTAACATAAATGAAGATACAACTTTGTCAACCCAAGCCGAGACTGAGGCGGAGACTGACGCTGCTTCTCCACGTCGAGAGGAACCAGTTGAGGTGGCTCGGGCATCTGTTCCGGATGCCTCCTGGAGGCCTCCCTGGGGAGGTGTTCCGGGCACGTCCCACCGGGAGGAGACCCCGGGGAATACCCAGGACGAGGTGGAGGGAGTGTGTGTGGATAGGGAAGTCTGGGCGTCTCTGCTTAGACTGCTGCCCCCGCGACCTGGCAACGGATGAAGCGGAAGAAAATGGAATGGATGGATGGATAAAGTAGGGGCTAAAGCAAATTACGTGAGGTGACTCATTTACAGTCGATTCCAGCTGCAGAACAAAAGTGTAAATAGTTGCGTAGCTGTGTTGTGTTTCAGGTCTTCGTGACAGAGTAGAGCGTCCCGTCTCTGTTCCTTCTACATGAAAAACCCTGATTGCATCTGTATTATTCTCAGACAAAGCTCAAAACTCAAACCTCACAAACATAAAGCATTTCCCTGAAGGAGGCGTGACTCGGGAAACTCAACACGGCCTTATCAAACACCGAGGTATTTCTATTGTCCAGACGAGAGTTCAACCACTTGAGCAACCTTCACCAGAGCGTTTGGCCTTTTCCTCCTCGTCTGAAATATGTTTTGACCCATTTTTAATTTGACAACTCCTCAGTGAAAAGCAGACCCGGGTCCGAACAACTCGCCGTGTGACCATCATCACTTAGTTTGAGATCTCAGCAAATGTAAGATCCCGTTTCGACCTCTAGAGACAAAAGCTCATCCCAGTCCTCTCTTATTCAGTTTTACATGCTTATAAAAATATTACCATGTACTGTATGTATTCTCCATAAATAGTCTTTTTTTTTTTTTATTCCAATGAGATGCTGAGCTCAATTGGAGCATGACCTGTAATTCCCATTGTACCTGATGTTACTGTAAGCTACACATTTCATGACAGAGTGGGTTACTAAGAAAGTCTGTACGAAAAAAAAGAGTCTTTTTGAAGAAAAGTGTAGTCCCTTTTTGTTGGATTTAATATTCTTCAAATGTCTCTAGACCTTAGCCTGTTCATACCACACCATAGTACAAAGTACATTTCGTACTAAGGTCTGGCTTTGCTCCATTGACTCCGTTAACAGGTGGGAGAGGTTAACCCTTTAAGCGCCAAAGTCGCAATATTGCGACAAGCAACATTGCTCACTTAAACAGGCTGTATTTAAAAATGTGGTGCAGAATCTTGTTAATACTTTTCACCAGGGGTTAGTGGACATGTGTGCCTGTAATATGAGCAACATTTGTGGGTGTGGTTATATTGAAAGTTTTTGAGTAAATTGAGTTTGTAAATCACCTGCGGCGCAGCAGCGCGGAGGCGAAGCAGCAGCGGTAGAGCTGAGAGGAGCGAGAGCAGAGCAGAGGGAGAGAGGGTTTTTTAATTTACTCACGAGGTCTTCAGTACCAGAGAAGTACTTGGTCTGGTACTGGCTCACTCAGAATCAGAGGAGGAAGACACGCAGGTGTCCAGTGAAGCAGACACGGACATTATTGGTGACGGGGAGACCGCGCCATATAGTCCACAATCAGCCCCTGTACAGCGGCAGCTTGTCCTCCGTGTGGCCGCAGTAGAAGCATTCTGTGAACGCCAAGCAGGGTCCGTGGTGGAGGGGACAGGGGGATCATAACACCGGGCATGTGGGAGAAAGTAGTGGGGGTAGACATCCACGGGGAACACGGGAGACGCGGGAGAAGTCGCGGGAGAGCCGCGGGAAAAAAACACATCGCTAATCACGTTCACTGCCTTTACCAGCAGCGATGATGAGGATGAAGACAGTTCTTGAGAGAAAATAATCCACAAAAGTGGATCAGAAGTGTTGAAGAGCCTGTTGTATGTTGTTGAGACGATCTGACAAGTTCTGAGCCCATTCATTTCATCTCTCTGTTTCTAAACGGTAAATCCTGGAGCCTCATTTCCACTGAGAAAAATAGTACGCCCACTACTTCTCTGAAAGGGAAATATTGAAACCAATCTCAAGATTTCATGACTGTAAACTATAAAGAGTTCTGTCTTGATCACTGAAGGTCTTTGAAAATAATACAATTCCATATGGCCGCGAACCAGTGCTAAAACATTATCTATAATCTGGATCAGGGAATTTATTTCTATCCCAAATTCATTTCATACTAAAGATATTTCACATTGACTGTTTATAGTATTCCCTGATCTCAAATAACTCCCAAGCTACAGCTTTTTGAAGTCTTTATACAATAATTAACATTTTCCAAAATGGCCGCCACCTTGATGACGTCACAATATGCAAATTAGATGACGAATCAACCTCCATCCCAAAGTTTGGTTCAAACTGAAGATATTTCTAATTTACAGTATGCCTTTATCTCAAACCATTTTAAAGTTATAGCCTTTTGAAATCTTGAAATCAAAATTGTATATTTTCTTGAAAAAACTCTGGCGCCTAAAGGGTTAACTCCTTTGGCAGATTGAATCTATTGGATCTGAGTTTACCGTGATGCATCGAATGTTCTTCAGTGAGTGCAGCATGTAGCCTAGCTTTAGCATTTAGCCTAGCTTTAGTATTTAGCCTAGCTTTATCCATCTCCTTTGGCAATAACGGAGCCCGTGAAGATTAGAGCCACAACATCTTTGCAGCAATGACATTTGCTAAACATTCCTCTTGCTCCGGCTTCAATTTCTTGATTTGGAGCCAAACTAGAAGGGGTTACTTTACTATTGCGTTCTTCACCATTGCCAAACTACAACCTACCATTTCGGCGCAAACTCTTGACGTCACCCACACATACCTACAACACCCGCCTCCCACGTTCACTGATTGGTCGGAGGGGATTCAACTGGTGTAATTGCAGACACTGAGACTGGACCTAGACGGTAAATGCAGGGAAATGATAATTGACCAGAGTTGACGGATGGTTAAGGCCAGGCTACTTAAACACATATCTTTGCATATTATTTTGAATATGTTTTGTGTCTTAGAAAGCCACAAAAATGTTTGCCACTTCTTTCTGAGAAGTTTTCAAACACTTCATTGAAGTATCCACCCCAGACCATTGGGAAGTTTCCAAACTCTAGTAAAGCCGTTTTGACTTTGTAGAAAAATAAATGGTCATCTTGGGTACCGTCTACTGTATATAATATAGAAGGAATGATTAAATATTCAAAAACATCTATTCAAGTCCCAATATGAACTTTGTGCTGTTAAAACATGCTATACTTCTAAGTGTTCATTTAGCTGTGTGTGTATTCAGTATTCAGTAACTTTGGTCAGTAAACATGACATTATTGTTGCTCTGAATCATCACATTTGAGTCTAAAAAGTCCCAAAATGAGAGTCGTGTTGTGAGTGTGTAAACGGAGCCCAGTGTCCTCACAGGAATCTGCTCCAACAAGAGGCTTTTGTCCCCACACACTCTGCACCGAGGCCACAGCACAGACTTCATATGCTGTGATACTTTTGTTTTGAAATTGAAACTAAAATTAAAATTGTTTGCCAGGAATCTAGGAAAAAAAATTTTAAGCAAATAAGCAGACATGAGTGGACCCAGACCTAGGACTGGGATCAGGACTGGACCAGGACAGGATTGGTAAACCCAGTGTGTGTTTCAGGAGTGGAGTCCGGACCTGAGTCGCTCCATCAGTCGTAAAGAGCGCGGACACAGCGAAGAGGAGAACGTGGTCACTCTGACTAACATCGTGTCATCTGGAGACGCACCGCCAAGCCCCGCCCCAGCCACGCCCATCAGGTAACAGGCCACGCCCCGGTCATGCCCCTTGGATAACAAGCCAAGCCCCTCAAGTAACAAGTTTAATCTGAGTTTAATCTGAGTTTAATCTGAGTTTAATCTGAGTTTAATCTGAGTTTAATCTGAGTTTAATCTGAGTTTAATCTGAGTTTAATCTGAGTTTAATCTGAGTTTAATCTGAATGAAGAAGAAGATATACTTTATTGATCTCACAACGGAGAAATTTGGTTCGATTGAGAGTCACTCACACAAACATGAAGGCATGCAGCGCGCTGTTAATTCCGCGCTCCGTATAGGCAAAGTGGGGTGGGGTAAAGTGTCTTGCCCAAGGACACAAGAATGAGCAGATACCTCTGTGACCGGAGAGACATTCACCCTTTTACCATCGATGTGTTCAGAATAAAGCGCTGCACAATTAAATAAGAACTCATGTGGAAATGTAAAAATATTTGGACATTCATTGTGTGCAATAACAATGTTTGTCGTTCAGAGTTTATCTGAAGAATGACCGCAAACACAATTACACACAAAATGATTCTCTGTGAAAATGTAAATCAAGTTTTTCTTGATTACACCACACTTTTCACTTTATTTTTAAACTAATAAAAGCATGTATCATTTTTCACCAATAGTTGTCTGATTTTTTAACTGTGAAATCTTAACTGTGAAATCTTGTTTATGGTTGTAAACATGACGTTCAAGATGTATTGGTGTTTTCGAGAGGCACTGGATGTAAATAAGTAATAACTAAAAAGAAATAAGTACATTTCGTCCATTTTATTTTTTGAGTTTAGAACCCTGTTATAATCCGAAGGGGACAAACTGTTTATGAATCTTACTTTGGGAAAGAGATAAATAATCTGAATGACGTACTGTCATGTGAAGAAAACGTTTACCAAAAATATGTAATTGTCCGATTTCAACACATTTCTCTGCTGTTTCAGGGTGAAGGAGGACTCCTCTGATTGGTCGGATGATGAGAGCCCGAAGAAGGCGCTTCCGGCAAACGGCGTGCACGAGGTGGGCGTGTACGTGAAAGCGCTGTACGATTACATCGGGCAGGAGGCCGACGAGCTCAGCTTCAAAGCAGGTATTTACCACAGGACCTCATTATGAACCTGCCCCTTTGGGCTAAGATACTTTGCAGAATGACAAACAGTTAGCAAAGACCCCCACGGAGCGAGCGCCTCTGAATACTACCACACGCTGAACACGGAGCTACATAAATGTGCCACAATAACTTTTTTTGTTAGACCCTCCTGCATCAGTGGATATCACGACGATAAGAAAATTGGATATTGCCCAATAATCCATATTTACTTTAATGTTTTAAACACCTTTCATTGGATTATTTTGTTTCAATTTGTACTACATTTTCTTTCAATGTATCCCTCTGGCCACAGGGGGCGCTCACTCCCACTTCCATTGTCGACACAGCATTTAAACACGGTTAAAGCTTAGTTACTTTAGCCCAGACCCTGTATACAGCCTTTTATACTTTCTTCTTTCTTATGCTAAAGTTAGAGTTATTGTTCATTTATCTTGTGCTGTGTGCTCCTCCTGCTGTTCTGTAGCTGATGATGCAACACTGAAATTTCCCCACTGTAGGACTAATAAAGAATCACTTAATCTTAATCTCAAAACCCTGTGTGTGTTTTTCAGGGGAGCAGCTGCTGAAGCTCGGGGAGGAGGACGAGCAGGGCTGGTGCAGGGGACGGCTGAGCTCCGGGCAGACGGGGCTCTACCCGGCCAACTACGCCCAGCCCATCAGCTCCTGAGGCCACGCCCATCAGCTCCTGAGGCCACGCCCATCAGCTCCTGAGGCCACGCCCCCAGCTCTCGAAGCCTCGCCCACTCACACTGACCCCATCATGAGACTGGACGTGCATAAAGGGCTGCAAGACTCACCGAAACTTTTGTGATCGCAATTATCAACACGCAAAGACGGCAGGGGAAAAAATATGAAACAAATGAATCTTGAATATGAGAATGTATTTGTACCATAGAGGAGAAAATGTACAGACACAAGAGTAATAAGCTTAAAGAAAACAAGTGAATAACGATTATTGCACATTTTATTAGCAAATGTGTCGCAAGACGAGACATTTTGCACTTCTTCTGGTTTTAGTCATAGAAATGGACCCAGTTCAAGCATTTATTAGCTCACTTTGACTTGTTTTTGCAGCGTAGCCATTCTCGTTGCCAAAAACAACATTGCACAATAGTTTTTGGCAATAAGAGATTTCCACAAAATAATATAAAATGTGTGGGAATGGACGAAACGCTCAAAATCACCGCTTATCACAAAGATTGCGGAAGTCATGCTGCCCTAGCACACGCCAATCTTTAAAGCGACAGTATGTAACTTTCTGGAGATGGATGTGATTAAAGGTCCGGGCTGTGGCCGCTCACATTAAGGTCACATTAGAAAGTGACATAGTGGGGCTTTTAATACAAATCCCCCAAACCGCCCAATGACACCGATGACAAGCTGCTGTTTTGAACTAACCAATCACGGACAATGTTTTCTTCTCCGAGATTTATTTTGTAACGTTTGCTAATTTTTTGCTGTGTTTTTAAGTTTTAGTTTTGTTTTGATTTAGAGTTGTTCAAATCAAAGATGCAAGCAAAGGGTGTGTAAAGCCGATGTCCACTGCACTGTTTTGACTAAAACGGGTTTAAAAACGGATTAACCATACCACATGACCAGCCCCATTAGCCTCTGGTGCGAACAAGGCTAACGGGGCTAACAAGGCTAGCATGGCTAGCATGGCTAATGCAAACAGCGGTTGCATGCCGATGACGTCATTGCGCGGTTCGCAGTTTGAAAGTTTCTGTGACCGAGGTTGCATCCAAATTGGCGACTCGAGCCTCCTTCCTGGTCCTCCCATCTCCTTCCTTGCTCTTTAAGAATATTTAAAAACTCTAGTACTTGTTTGTTCCAAATGTCGCAAAGTTTTCTGTGGCTCATGTTGCAGCTGTCACACAGATTCTCCAATTGTCGAAGAATCTAAACTGAATCGAAGTTATTTCAAGAGTGACTATATAGTTTTCAATATCACCTAAAAATGTTGACCCCAAAAAAAAAATCCTCTTCCTGAGCAACACGGGCTGGTGTGTCAGAACGACTCACATGGGACAACACTTTGATATTGTCCGCTTTGTCGGCGGATGAGAAACCTCCCACTGGTGTCAATTCATAAGTTGTAATGTTTTGAGCCCTTTTTATTTTCTTCACGTTTGTCTTCCCTGTGGTGAAAAGCTGACGCAGGTCCAAACAACACCCCAGCCTTTCCCACTGTTGTTTAATTTATCTCAAAAACACGTTTAAGCTCACCGCAGAATGGGTGGAAAGGTGCGGGGAATGATCCAGGGTGCGGTGGTGAAGTGGATGTGATGTGAACGGCAGAGAACTGAATACTTTTACATGTAAGTCAATAGGAGCCAGAGCGAGTTGGAGCCAAACTTTGTCCATGAGCACTTCTCTTTTGGGCTTCATTGAGCTAAAGTGGGTTATGTTAGCATTGCCCGTCTTAGGGTCTCTTAATTAGTTATTTTCAGTTCTATTTTGGAATATTAGACAGTTTGAAATGTCCCTCAATGAAATATGAACCAAATATTTTGAGTTTATCCACATTAACATTAACGATATGTGGTTTTGGACTGGTATCGGATCCACCTCTGGGCCAAAGTGTCCGGATCGAATACCTAAATTGGATATGGTAACCCTCCCTCCGTCCATTTTTCTCTGCTTTATCCGTTGCCGGGTTACAGGGGCAGACTTCCCGATCCAAACTAAAGGTCTTGGATATTCCCAAACCAGCTGAGAGACAGAGCACCTCCAGCGTGTAGTGGGCCTTCCCCTGGTCTCCTCCCGGTGAGAAAGACCCGGCACTGGCCCTTCTCGACGTGGAGAAGCAGCGGCTCTAGTTCAAGCTCCTGCTGTTTCACAGGAATTAATTTCACCCACTCGTATTCTTTCGACATTACCCAAAGCTCGTGACCGTGGGTGAGGGTGGGAACAGAGTCAATGGTTTGGTAAAGTGGAATTGAGATTTATTTTTTGTTATGAAATATTGGTGAAATTTAAAGTCACTCGGGTCTAAGCAAGGAAGGAACAGGAAGTGGTTGCTGTGGATGGATTCAGTTTTTGTACAGTGGACACCAGGCCGCGTTGAAAATGGATTTCCTGTTTTAAAGAGCACATGTATTTATAAAAAAAAAACTGACCTTGTATTTAAACTTAAAGTTGGGGCTCAAGAATTTTCAAACCAACCAAAATGTAACTGTCGTACAAACCCCAAGTCACTCGCTCCTGGCTCTAAAAACAATTCTTTTGTCACATCTTTGGGTCAAATTTTTTCAGACAGAAAAGCAAAAAAAGACAACCACCCTCAAACAGCTCCCAACTTTTTTTTTTTTTACTTTTTCTGTTTTTACAATTGAATGAATACAATGAAGACGGAAGGTTGTGGTCTGATTTGTTTTTTTTTTTTTTGTTTTTTTTTACATTTAACATTCAAGATTCTTGATTTTGGGGCCAAGAAATTTAGGTAACGCAGCTTTAAGTCGGTAATAAACACGTGTATCACATGTCAGAAGGCTCAAAGGTAAACCAAAGGATAATCATAGTGACCAGTGCCTTAGAGAAGTGCGCCCTCTGCTGGAATCCACTTTCTGTTCATTTAACTTCACAGACCAGACAGTTAGTCCATTCGAATCTTTCAGTGCGACAATTTTGCTTTTTTTTTGTAATTTATTGGGTTTTTTTGTCCGAGGATCAAAAATGGGAAATTCGTTTTTGTGTTTAGATGAAGAGAAACAACAATTATCTCGATCAAACCAACACTTTATAATGATATATAATGTACATAGATGATAGATTTTTTTATGAATGGCATTTCTCATGTAAATGCTTTGTGGATTTTCTCACCCAAATATGAGAACACATGTTTGTTTTTTCTCTTCCTAATGAAAGCCAAGAGTTTGGATTAGTTGCTGTAGCGTTGCCAAAATGCTTCTGTAAATACGAGATTTGAGCTGAATGTGGGAAAATAAAGGCTTTACACAGCGGATAACTTGTCCTGTCTCAAAACAAACGAATGGCCAGACTCTTTAAGCTAGATCTCATCAGAACTCTGATGCTATGCAGGGCAGTCGCCTGGCTAGTACTGTGATGGGAGACCTGTAGGGCAGCTGCGGCTGAAAAGTGCCCAGTCATTGTGTCCTTGGGCAAGACACTTCACCCACATTGCCTAGAATGATTCTTGTGTGTGTGTGAATGGTTGGTGGTGGTTGGAGAAGCCGATAGCACACTGCCTGCCTTGCTTCTCTCGGTGCGTCCCAGAGCAGCTGTGGCTACAGCAGTAGTTTATCACCAACATGAATGGAGTGAGTGTGGAGCGCATGTGAAAAGAAAACCAAACTTTGTGGGCAAAGTCGGCATTGTTTCAAATCTGGCAGGAGTTAATGTTGTTTCAATAAAAAGAAAACAAAGATGAGAGTGTAGCTTCTGCATAAGATCAGAAAAAGACTGACTCAGAACCCAAGGATTATTGGAGCACAACGTTTTGTACAAGGAGGAAGCGCGGACATTAAAGTATATACAGTGCCTTGCAAAAGTATTCAGCCCCCTTGAACCTTAGTAAGTAAGTAATCTTTATTTTTCACCTTTCAACATTTCGCCACATTTCAGGCTTCAAACATAAAGATAACATTTTTATTTTTTGTCATGAATCAACAAGTGGGACACAATCGTGAAGTGGAACGAAATTGATTGGATAATTTAAACTTTTTTTAACAAATAAAAAACTGAAAAGTGGGGCGTGCAATATTATTCGGCCCCTTTACTTTCAGTGCAGCAAACTCAGTCCAGAAGTTCAGTGAGGATCTTTGAATGATCCAATGTTGTCCTAAATGACTGATGATGATAAATAGAATGCACCTGTGTGTACTCAAGTTTCCGTATAAATGCACCTGCTCTTTGATAGTCTCAGGGTTCTGTTTAAAGCGCAGAGAGAACCATGAAGACAAAGGAACACACCAGGCAGGTCCGAGATGCTGTTAAAGCCGGATTTGGATACAAAAAGATTTACCAAGCTTTAAACATCTCAAGGAGCACTGTGCAAGCAATTATATTGAAATGGAAGGAGTATCAGACCACTGCAAATCTACCAAGACCCGGCCGTCCCTCCAAACTTTCATCTCAAACAAGGAGAAGACTGATCAGAGATGCAGTCAAGAGGCCCATGATCCCTCTGGATAAACTGCAGATAACTACAGCTGAGGTGGGAGAGTCTGTCCATAGGACAACAATCAGTCGTGCACTGCACAAATCTGGCCTTTATGGAAGAGTGGCAAGAAGAAAGCCATTTCTCAAAGATATCCATAAAAAGTCTCGTTTAAAGTTTGCCACAAGCCACCTGGGAGACACACCAAACATGTGGAAGAAGGTGCTCTGGTCAGATTAAACCAAAATCGAACTTTTTGGCCACAATGCAAAACGATATGTTTGGCGTAAAAGCAACACAGCTCATCACCCTGAACACACCATCCCCACTGTCAAACATGGTGGTGGCAGCATCATGCTTTGGACCTGCTTTTCTTCAGCAGGGACAGGGAAGATGGCTAAAATTGATGGGAAGATGGATGGAGCCAAATACAGGACCATTCTGGAAGAAAACCTGTTGGAGTCTGCAAAAGACCTGAGACTGGGACGGAGATTTATCTTCCAACAGGACAATGATCCAAAACATAAATCCAAATCTACAATGGAATG